CTTTCTTTTTTGTGTATATATATATATATATATATATATATATATATATTCATGTTTCTTTCTTTTTTATGTATAACTTTTCCCCTACTAGCTCGATGCTCATATTAGAGGCCATATGGCTGCACTAAAATGATTGTTTTAGTTGGAGAAGCCGTAAGCAAAACTGCTTCACCCAAATGCATTTATTTATTTCTTTTCATTCTTGTTGCTTCTCTAAGATACATAAATTACTATTCATATAATATAAATTAGAATTTGTGGGGTACAAATTTTTTGAGGTCCATGTTGTCCCAGGCAAATCTTGTTGAACTCCCCATCCTAAGAATAGTTTCTTGCTGTTTCATGTGATTGTGGTTATATATATTTATTTATTTATTTATTTTGGGATCTGATCTGAAATTGTCCTACTAAAAGCAATTGATTACATTTTCCTCCGGGGAGACGCACATTTTAAGAGGGAAAAAAAAAAGGAATGAAAAAGAAAGGCAACAAGTCATTTTTCTATTTAAAAACCATGAGAATAATTATGGTAAATCATTATTGGTACATAGGCACACTCCAAAAGAGATGTGGGGCCAAGCCCCATGAATTCCAATTTGGTCCACGACCAAACCCACATCGTGTTTGCCACGTGGACACAGAGGTGCATGATATCAGCATGAAGTATGCTAATGGCCCACATTATCAAATTTTGCGCTCAACTTATTTTCAGAAAAGAAAAGCCAAGCAAAAAATAAGCTTGTATTAAATTTTTTTCCCTCCTGAAAAAATAGCAATTCAAAAGAATGCTAAATAGTACAATTTTACCATATGGGCGGAAAAATAATTTGATATTTTTATAATAAATTAAACTATTATATTAACTGTGACAATGTGATAATGATATGGACTATTTGTCAAGTTCGAATATATATATATATTGACTATTTAGTCTTTAGTATGTGATATGTTATCCGACCGTTACTTTTTAGCATTTTTCTTTTGTTACCTGAAATATGTTTGGTATATATATCTTAAGGTTTATTACTCACGATACGCTTACATCTTTGGAGAACTGATTTATCTTACAATTTATTGTTCAATAACATTAATACGTTGTCACATGTATTATTTTACGTATGATCAAATCTAAAAGCAACATACAACTAAAAAAATACGAAACAAGCAACGGACAATATATAACTAGTAGACAAACAAAGACTTCTTAATTAGGCTCAAGAAGATTGTTTTGCTATTATTATTACTTTTTAGAAATGGCATAAACGTGGCACACGCATAATGCGTCTCTCTCTCTCTCTCTCTCTCTCTAGATCTCTCAGTCTCTCTCTCTCTCATACTTGTAATTGCCTCAAGCAAAGGTTCCTCTAAGGTCATATCGAAAAGTATTAATCAAAATAATCCCGTTACTTGAGGAAGCATATATATATACATATATAGATATATCTAGCTAACACGTTCCGTTGGGTTGGCCGCCCGCCGTCTTGGGAGTTGGAGCCATTATCGGCGTATATGCAAAAGGCAGTCTTATCATTACTATCAAAACCCTCAAACTCAAACTCCACCAATATATATATATATATATATATATATATATATATATTATTTGTGTTTTAATTTTTGCGATCAAATCCCACCTTCTGCCTTACGTCACTGTCCTCTCTCTCCTCTCTCTCTCTTCACACACTATAAGTACCATCCCCACGGCTTAATCTTCCTTTACAAGTATGAATTACGTATTAACAATTCCTCTTTCTTTCATATATATCTCTTATATATTCTTCTTCTAGTGGTTTCTTTCTCATTTGCTAATTTGCTTATTTGTTGGGCCAGTTAATTTGCTGGAGATATAATGGGAGATAGCAATGTAAACCTACCTCCTGGTTTTCGTTTTTATCCAACAGATGAAGAGCTCGTCGTCCATTTTCTTCATCGTAAGGTTTCCCTCTTACCTTGCCATCCTGATGTCATTCCTGATCTCGACCTCTATCCCTATGACCCTTGGGAACTTGATGGTATGTATGTCCATTATATTCTCCTGTATATACACATATATATACATATATGTATATGTTACTATGTATGCGTGTACAATAGATATATATATATATATGTATATGTATCTATATGTGTGTATGTAAAAGAATATTGATTTCTATGCACAAGTAGTGAACTTTAGTCAAGAAGGCCTGCCCTAGAATTTGCATGAATGATGAAATACAACGCCCCTTAGGCCATGCTTTTATTATTAGCTTATAGTCAACATTTGGTTTTGTGAGGAGATCACAAGACATTGATACGTAATGTTTAGTTTGGTAAATTTCTTTTTTTTAGCCATGTTGACTTGTTAGTTTCACATTAAAAAGTCAAATACAAACATTACATCACAAAACAAGGTATAAAACTTTTGAATATTAATATAGTTACAGATGCTCCTAACTTAAATAAAATCGTCATTAGATGAACATTTATATATATATTTCTAATTTATTACAATTATATGAGCAGCTTTTTAATTTAAGATATACATATATATATGTATGTATGTATGTATGCAGGTAAGGCTTTGGGTGAGGACAATAAGTGGTACTTCTACAGCAGAAAGACGCAAAATAGGGTTACGAACAATGGGTATTGGAAGCCTTTAGGTGTAGAAGAAGCAGTTATTGGGAGAAGTGGTAACAAAAAAGTTGGTACCAAAAAGTACTTAGTGTTCTACGTAGGAGAAGCTCCTTCTGGTATGAAAACTAATTGGATAATGCACGAGTTTCATCTCTCCGATTCTGCTTCTACTTCCTCCACTACTTCTTCTAGTACCAGATCATCCAAAAGAAGAGCACCCAAAAAAATAGTTAGTACCCACCAAATATGTAATTAACTACACTACATATATACGTAAAATTTTTATTAATTATTTTTTTTTAAAAGGAAAACATATTATGAATTTCTAACGCATAATTGTTTCGCCGGTGTGCGAATTATATTTTATCGCAGGATACTAGCAAATGGGTTCTCTGTCGAGTCTATGAACGCGATGAAGATCATGACGATGGAACGGAGCTTTCATGCTTGGATGAAGTTTTCTTATCATTGGATGATCTTGACGAAATAAGTTTACCAAATAATTAATTAGTTTAGGTTTAAGAGAAAAGAAAAATTCCAACAAAAGATCCAAATTAATGAAGGGTCTACTACCAATTATATTATTATAAGTTAGTTTCTATAAATTATCCTGATGTAGCATGCCTGTTATTTAATTTCTTATATATTATAGTAGGATGTTAATGTAAACTACCTTCATATGCACCTGAAGTAGTCGGCATTATGTACTTTTGTGTGGGTGATCAGAAAAAAAAAAAAAAAGGAAAAACAAAAGAAAAATATTACTCACGGCCTGTTTAGTTCGTTAATTCGAATTTTTAATTTGAGTTGAGATGTGATTTTATGTGAGAGTTTTTTACTATAGTAAAAAAGTTAAATATGACTATTTTTAAGAATTTTTTACTGTAGTAAAACTCGAATAAGTGAGATGAACGGGTATATATAACCAAGTTTACAAGAAGTTTCGCTACTTCCAAATTCTGACACGTTTGACAATTGGACCTGACAAAACCGCAAAATCCCACCTCAAAGTTTGTGAAAAACCTATAAGAAGTAGTTGACTTTGATACCGAGTTGCACGGAACTTCTGTGCACTTAATTGAGATGGTGGTGGCTTTTTGTCCCTATCTCTTTTGATGGAAAACTGATCACGTGCAGAGATAATTGCGAGGAGAATAGATAAAATGCGGGGCCCATTAAGCACTGTAATGTAAGTCTGCGCCTCTTGCGCAATTGAGCATTAATTCACACACCAGGAAAAAAAAAAAAAAAAAAACAAAGAGACAAAGAAAAGGACGACCTTTTTAGCTTTTCTTTTCTTTTTGGCTACAATTGATGGCATTTTGGTAGTTGTGTTTGTCACAATGCCAAGGAACAATTTTTTTTTTTTGGGTGGCTGCTTAGGAGAGGATGCAGTCATGTATGATGCAAGCATTCCACATGTGACTCGCAATATACGTACTTATCACACGGAACTTTTCTTTTTTTTTTTTTTTTTTTTTTTTTTTTTTTTTTTTTTTTTAAGGTAATATTCTCCACCCATTTTTGCTTTCCCTTTTATAGCACGTCTCACCAAATCAATTTTCTGGAAAGGAAAAGACTGGCCTAATTTATAATTCCATCTTCACATATGGAAATTCCATTTAACTTGTTTGCTTATTAGTTAGTTCTCATTATTGTGGGTGATTGAACCAAGATCATGAGCAGATTCAATGGCTACAAAGCTAGTTAGTGAGGATAGTTTAGTTGATTTTGGGACCAAAATATTTTACGGGCTTTAAGAGGAACCAAAACTGAGTTGCCCTCCTCTATTATGAAATCCTAAAAATTGCACGGAATTGATAATAGCCACGGGCTTTTAGACGAAAATTGATACGTGCATAACACAAAGATTATTATTTAATTATGATTAAGTAAGAAACTTGAAAATTTGAAAAGAGTTATGTTAGTAGAGTTTACGTGTCAAACAATAAATGCAAAGAGCGACAGAATGAGTGATGTTAGCATTTCTCAAATATTCTTATGGGTTTTCTAGTCCTTCTCATAAGTTTTGGCTATATTCTTGCCCTAGATTTCTCAATATTTTCATTCAGGCTGATTTAGCCACTATTATCTTTAATAAAAAGATTTTCCTTCAAAAAAATGTGTGTTTTTTTTTTTTTATTAATTGGTGATGATGCTATGTGGTGATGAATATTTTAGTTCTCTAGATGTTTTGGTTTATGTTTTTTTGTTTAGTTTTTCTTATTTGATGATGATGATGATAGATATTGATGATGATGATGAACAGGTAATATATATTGAGTATATGTTGGTAATAGATATTTATTTGTAATAGATATTGATGATGATGACGAATTTAGTTTTTTAGTTGATTTGCTAATGTAAGAATACAGATACAGATTAAAGGTTTGATTATTATTTTCATGTTGTATGGTTCATGTTTTATGATGATTTATTATGTATCTGTAACACCTCCAGAAATTAAACTAGATTGATTATGCTATTATAATTTATTAGTGTGCCTAATTTGATTTACTTGATTAATTATGTTCATTAAATGTTTCTAATATTTAAGTTTAAATATTTTCAAGAGATTTAAATATTTTCAGTATTTATATTTTCACTCCAGAAGTGTGTGGAGATACACTTTCTGATCCATTTTTCTAAATATCTTTAATGTTTATAGATTTATTTTCTTTTCTGTTCTTTTTCTTTTTCCTCTTATTTCTCTCTTTTTCCTCACTCTATCCCATGTCACTCTCTCTCTCTCTCTCTCACACACACACCTCTCTCACTCTCTCCCTCTCTCGCCTCTCCCTTTCTCTTCTCTCTCAAATTTGGCTCTAAGGGGAGTTTTTGACCAAGAAGCTTGAACCAAAAAGGAACCTTATGAAGTTTCTAATAATAAAGGAAGGATTTGTAGTAAGATTTCTGAAAATCTTCTCTTGAACCTTGGATTTTTCCTTTGGTAGAACTTATTTTCAATTTGAGTTGGATTTTAATGAGTTTTGGTTGAAATCATGATGAGATTTAGGGATTTATGGTTCTTTAGACTTGATTTAGTAATTAGAATCTGGATTTGTTGAGTTCCTATGAAAATATCTCAGATTTAAACCTGAAATTGTAGGTTTTGGAATTTTTCTTCGCAGTTCGGCCATTTTTCCACGAACTGTAGAACTCCACCGGTCGACCTCTCCGGATGACCGGTCCCTTCTCCACCGGCCAACTGGTGGAGATGAACCTCTCTATCACCGGCCGGCCGGTGCACACGTGATATGAACCGGATTTGTCTTAAAACTCTATTTTGACCATGGTTTTCAAAGATGACCGAAATTAGCTTCATTTGGGAACTTAAGGAAGATGGATTAGCATCTTTAATCCATGTTTTGATATCAAAATCTTTAGAATAATGATTTGAAACATGAAATGATTTATGAGATTTGGAATTTGATTAAGGCACACTAATAGGAAATCACTGTGTATGATTAAACTTGCTTTGTTTTAGGAATGAGGGTTGAATCATAAAATGTTGTTTTTTTGTCAATGTTAGTTGCGGAATCAGATTAAAAGCTTTGAGGAAAGCGGAGGCTAGGGTAGCGAGAGGCTAACCACAGATTTGACATTCGAGGGTAGGATTTCTTGTCTTTTTCTTTGTTAGCCTTTTTTAAGAGTTTTTGGCCTATATAAATGTTTAAAAGAAAGAACATGTTTAATAACAAAAAGTACTTTAACACAATAGTTCGAATATTGCTATTGGAATCATAATGAATTGTTCTAAAGTTTTAATGAATGTTTTCTTAAGATAAGATATTTTGCGAACTAGTAAGCCCGCTGATGGCCTAGATAGGATATGCAGAGTGTATCCTCGGGGGCAGAACCTGAAATTCGGACCGGGCTACTACGATGGTGTTAAGGCTTGTGCATATGGTTGTGTAAGTAATTTATCATAGTTATAAATTACTTGTTGATGCCTGTAATACGGAATTTTAAGTTCATATTTCCTTTCAGAAAAAGGATGTTAGGTTCCAGCTGTTGTGTTGGAACTGGACACTTATATTTATTTATTTACTTTTTTATAAAATTTTATTAAATATATCATATTGGGCTTTCTGCTCATGTTTTCCTTTTGTTTCTCTATATATATTTAACCGCTCACAGGTGACGCTAGAAGCAGTGCTGAATAATTAGGTAAGTTGCTACCACTGGAAATCTCTATATAAGAGGTTCAAGAGAAGGCGTTGTAATCAACTCTAACTCATTCTCATGTAAGAATTGTAAATTATCGGATTGTAAACCTTAAACATTCTAGACTGTGGTTGATGTTTGTAAATGTTCTTTACTTGTTCATGTATGTACAATATTGACTATCCTGTGGGGGATACCTAGAATGATGCTAGAGGCTTGGTTTTAAACTTGTTTTATCAGAAAAGTGTGAAAGTCAACATAACTTTCTTGTAATCTAGATTCATTAAAAATGTGGGGCTTATTTGAAAATTGTTTTAATATTTACTTTTGGTATTGATTATTATATTTCCTAATGTTTAATTACTTTATTAATCATATTTAACTTCTAAACGAGTCTCCACGTCACTAACTCCTATTTCGGGTCGTGACAATATCATTGAGGATGATGATGTATTATGTTTATGTATTTTTATGAGGATGATGATGTATTATTTATTTTTATGAGGATGAGGATGATGATTTATAAGTGTTGCATTATGATATTTAGAGTTTTAGATTTTTAGACTTAACAGGTTAAATTAGTTTTAATAAAAAAAAAAAAAAAAGATTGGTCTCTTGTTTCCTTAAAAGAAGTAGATTGTTGAAATAGTGCATAAGGTAAATTATTAAATTATGTAAAAATAATTACTACTGATAAAACAATAATTTCAATTTAAGTAGATAAAACTTAGCTATAGAAAGCAATTATATTCAAATTTATAAAAAAAATTAATTAAAAAACTACCACAATTAAATATGTTCATAATTATTAAATGTAATAAATAATTTATAAAATGATTGAAAAAGTTATAACTACACAGCAATAATATTAATTAATTAGCATGTATAAGATAAATGAGAATGATATTTGAACATTATTTTGAAAGATTTGTGAAATAAAATAACACTACTAGAATAAGATAACACTATTTTCAGGAGTTCATATTTTTGTGCCTCCTTCCTCGCCGAGTATTCTATTTACAGCATCTCTTGCTCAAGAATCAGTATGACAATGATGTGGATGACGCACAAAATTGAAGGAATTATACATAAATCGCTGTGTTTATTTATCTGTATTAAGACTACTTTACGACATGATGTCTATGCTTTCTCAATAATCGTATTCTTCTAAATTTTGAACACAATATTATAATCATCTAATAGTTTGTAAATACAACATATAATTAATCGTGTCAATTTATATCACTCCATATTAAATTGATCAAATTCAAATCTAATTCGTTAATTAATCATGTCAATTTAATTATGATCCAAATTCACTTATAATAAATCTAACTCTGTTAATTTTATGTGAGTTTCAAATTACGTTATCGACTCAAATTAGCACTAAATTGAAGTAGCTTGTTTAAGTTTTAATATGGGGTTTTCTTCATGCTTTCTCACTAATCGTATTCCTCTAAATTTTGATTTCAAATGTTAAATTACCCCAGTGGTGACTCATCAAAACCGTCCTCCAAGACAATTAATTGCCTCCTGAAAATGCTACTTCCCATCAATTCGATAATTGAAACCTATAAGTGCGAGCGATATGCATCCAAAGCCACATTTTCCCTTTGCATCAAATGAATAGTCTTCGCTCAAATCCAACGTTTCCATGTGTATTGGGTTTCCTCTAAATTTTGGAATCTTTTTTTTTTTTTTTTTTTAGTTTTTAAATCGTTTATCGTTTAATTTCTTACTTAACTAGATTCAGAAAAAACTATATGGGTCAAAGGATTTTTTTTTTTTTTTTAAGATTTTCAAACATGCAGGGCATTCTTTTTGATAAGTAAAAAACTCAAGGGTGTGTCATGTATATTGTATCATGAAAGAAGAGGTGGAGGATTTCACATAAGATATTTTTAACTTTTTATTGAAAGACGATTAATTTTTCAGAGGGATCAATAGCTGATGATGTGACTTCCCCTACTGTAGCAAAATAAACTTCAACATTATGGTCATTTAGCATTTTGATTTATGTTTATGACTTATGTTTGTCATGGATTGAAGACTTGATTGAAGTTTTAAGTGTTTTTATTGTTTTAGTTTGTGGACTAAAGTTTAAGTGTTTTTTATGGGTTTAGTTTGTGGACTTTTGAACTTCTTAAACTGATGTTATTTAGGTGTTTAATGATTAATCATGTATGTTTATTTTTTTTTTATTTGTGAGAGAGTTTTATGTGTTTGTTTTAATTTTTAACTTAGATTATTTGTGTCTCTTTAGCATATTTAAGAGGTTGAGAAACATGATATCTTTAAGTGCAAACATGTTGAGAAACAAGTTTTTTTGATGGTCAAGTTGAGAAACAAGTTGAGAAATAAGTTGACACAACCTTATTATCACCCAATTTTATAAATGGGTTGGCAGGTTGCAACGGGTTGACACGACACTATTATGACATGTTTAATAAACATGTTAGTCGTGTCGTGTTGTATCAACCCGTCAATATACAACTCGTGTTTGGATTTTATATTTTGACATGAATAATAAATAGATCGTATTAGTGTTAGGTCTTAACGTATCAACTGAGAGGGTTAACACGACACAACAATACGAATTGCCACCCCTAATTTATATGTAGTACTTTTTAGATTTTCCCTTATTTTAATCTATGTTAAGTAAATAAACTGATGGTTTACTTTTATGGGCGTAGGTAAACCAATAGTTATCTCTCTCACTCTCTCATCCTTCACTAATTCTCTCTAGTTCACTGAATAAATGACGGCCATCATAGTTTTAATGTGTAACTCGGCCAGCCACCTAATAAGTAAATAATAATGTTGGGCACACCAACTATAATCTCGAATTTTGTATCAACTCATAAGTTTTCATTTTATTTATTAATAGGTGCAACATCAACATATCAATAAAACAAAAACAATTCACTAATTGGTATACAAATTGAGATTAGAATTTGTGGACTTAGCATTATTTTCACACCTATCTATGAAAGAATGATAATTCATGAATTAATATTATTTTAATGATGAAAAAGAACTATCGAACTTAACCTTAAGGGTACATAATTTTTACTAATTACTCTCGATTAATATCCTTTTGACTAATATAATTATTTGACTAAAATAATGTAATTAAAAGTAAGGAATAAAAATCTAAACTCATACATTCTAAAAAGTATTTGTGTTCTTTCCTTCTAATATTAAAGTTGGAATTAGAATTGGTGTATTAAACTCAAGAGAAAATTCGTGAACTCACCATTTGATCTATTATTTTAAAATTTTTATCTTTTACTCTTGTTTAATACCCTTTTAACTAATAATTCTTTAACTAAAAAAAATATTAATCAAGTGTAAGATGTAAAAATCTAAGTCTCATACATTCAAAATTTTGTATGGTTATTTTTTTTTTTTTGAGAAATTGTATGAAATAGGCTATATTTAAAACTTATGGAAATAAATGACCAATTTACCAATGTATAGAAATTAATAAACCATTTCATATTTTTAATTTTTAATTTTCTAATTTTATCCCTTTCTTGTTATTTCTCTTTCTCTCCTTTGGTAAATCCAGGTATATCCAAGATTTATCATGTTAGAATTACTTGAAAAAGAATAGTACAAATTCTAATGATAAATCTTAGATATACCTAGTAAATTCAAGATTTACCAAGTTCATATTACCAGGAAAAAATGTACAAATTCTAATGGTAAATCTCAGATATACCTAGTAAATGTAAAATTTATAAAGTTCGTATTAGTACGGAAAAAGTGAAAAATCTAATGGTAAATCCGCGATATACCTAGTAAATCTCCGATTTACCAAGTTTGTATTAGTAGTGTAGTAAATGCCGGATTTACGGGATTTACAGTTCGTATTAGTAGAAAAAATGAAAAATCTAATAGTATATCACGGATAAACTTGGTAAATTCTGAATTTACCAAGTTCGTATTTACGAGGAAAAAAGACAAAAATTCTAATGTTAAATCTCATATGTACTTGGTAAATCCAGGATTTATCAAGTTTGTATTAGTAGGAAAAAAATGAAAAATATAATGGTAAATCTCGGATATACCAGGTAAATTCTGAATTTACCAAGTTCATTTTAGTAGAGAAAACACACATTATAATTTGTAATGATAAATTCTGTATATATTTGGTAAATCCCGGATTTATGAGATTTACCAAGTTCGTAGGAAAAAAGAATACTACAAATTCTAGTAGTAAATCCGAGATACACCTGATAAATTCTGGATTTACCAAGTTCATATTAGTAGGAAAAAAGTGAAAAATCTAATAGTAAATCTTGGATATAAACGGTGAATCCAGGATTTACCAAGAGGGTATTTTTGAAATTTTAACTTGCTGTAAATCAAGATTTACTCACATAGGTCTATTTATTAACTTTTCTTAAATATTGGCCTATTAATTTTCAGAAAAATTGTAAGAAATAGGCATACATTTAAAACTTATGGCAGTAAATGACCAATTTACTAATATATACAAATTAATAGATTATATCATGTTTTTAATTAATTTTCTAATTTTACCCTTTTCTTGCTAATTCTCCCCTTTCCTTTGGTAAATTCAGGTGTAGTCAGGATTTATCAAGTTAAAATCACTTGAAAAAAATAGTACAAAATCTAATGGTAAATCCCGGATATACCTAGTAAACTTAGGAGTTACCAAGTTCATATTAATACAGAAAAAGTGAAAAATCTAATGGTAATCCTAGATATACTTGATAAATTCTGAATTTACCAAGTTCGTATTAGTAGGAGAAAAGAACACTACAAATTATAATAGTAAATCCTGGATATTCATATTAGTAGGAAAAAAATTTAAAATCTAATAATAAATTCCTGATATATTTGATAAATTCTTGATATATTTAATAAATTCTGGATTTACCAAGTTCGTATTAGTAGAAAAAAGAATACTATATTCTGAGAATAAATCCCGAATATACATGGTATTACCAGATTCATGTTAGTGGGAAAAAAGTGAAAAAGTTAATGGTAAATCCCAATTATAAACGGTAAATTCAGGATTTACTAAGATGATATTTTTAAAATTTCAACTAATTATAAATCCAGATTTACATCACATTAACTTATTTATTAACTTTTCTTATACATTAACCTATTAATTTTATTTTCTCTCAAATCTTGACTAATTTTCTGCAATCTCCTTAATTTTAATTCCTCTCAACTCTTCGTCTATTTCTCTTTATCCTCTTTATTTGTTTTATTTTTTTACATTTTTTTTCCGTAACTCAACGCGAAAGTGAACCATAGAATTGGGCCCAATGTCTAAGCACCAGCCGAACCCAAACCCAAACAATATATGCAGATTTGTCAGGACTTGTCGTCTGCCACTGTGAACTCCGGCGTAGCAAGCAAACTGCCAAATTGTAATGGAGGAGGCAGAGGACAGGACCAAACCATTTGCCGTTTTCATGGCCTTCGGTACCAAAGGAGATGTCTTTCCTATTGCTGTAAGTCCTCTTTTCTCTTTCATTTTCCATGAAAACGTAAGAAAAAAAATCAGGAATAAAAAATTCTTAAGTGTTTGAATTTTCTATATTATGTTTTGGATTTCCATAACTTAATTTCAGCTTCCTAAAACAAGAAAAAGAAAAAATGTATACACTAGATATATAAATTACTCAGTTGGATGGAAATTTAACTCATTTCTCCTTTTCATATTTTTTTCATGTTTGATTTACAGTTCTCTTATACTTAAAGTTAGGGTATTAACAATCTTAGAGATGGATTTTTGGGAAAAAAAAAAGAAAAAGAAAACAGAAAAACTAATGAGTGAATCGTTGATAAAAATATGTTTTGAACATAAAAGCTTCAAATCTGGTTTTGTAAATGGATAATGTTGTAGAATACAAACCCTTGTTTTGATAGCACTATCATGATTCAAATTCAGGTCATGAAGAGTGTGTTTGGTATGATGGAAAAGTGGAAGGAAGGAAGTAGGTAGAGGGATTATTAGATGGAAAATGATAGAGTTAGTTGTTTAGTAAGAAGGAAGAGAGGAGAGAAAGGAAAATATGATGAAAAAGAATTATGGTGGGGCCACTATTTTTTATCTCTCTAACATTGGAAGGAAAACTCAAATCCACTAATTGATGGCTAAATTTATTTTTGTGTCCCTATTTTAAAATCTAAATTAATATTAAACAATTGATAAAATAGTCATTTAGGCTATTATATGTTTTTTTTCCTCTCATTATACCAAACACTATAAAGGAAAAACAACTTCATTCATTTCTTTCACATTTTCTTTCTTTTACGTGTTTTCTTTCCATTCTTTTTTCTTTCCCTCCTACCAAACGGAGTGGAAATCTCATAGTTGGTTCCTTGTTTAGTGTCGGATTTGTATGAGTTAATTAGGCTATTATAGGATCTTTTATTTTTGCAAATAAATCAGAAATAAATGTAGTTTCCATTCCTAGTTTATAGCAGAGGATTTGCTGATTGTGTGTGAGCTGTAATTGCTGATTTTGTGGGCATTCCTCTGCTATTTATTCCTGTACTTGTTCTTTGTAATTCAAGGAGAAATATTATCTTTTTTCTTCCCTAAACTTATATGGTATCAGAGTTGCCATGTTCTTTTCTTTCTCCTTCACGATGTCTTACAAGGCAGCGATGACTGGCAATCAAAATAAATCTACAATCTTCTCAGTCTCTTCCGAAGCCAGTCACCCTATCCCTGCAAATTCTTCCGTTCCAGTTCCTGCAGAATTTTATTTGTAGAATTCTAATCTGCAACTCACGGCCATGAAACTCAATTGGTAGATGTTATCTCGAGTGGGCTCAATCCGTGAAATTGGCGATTGACGGCAGGGGCAAGATCGGGGACTTGACTGGTGAGATTTCTAGCCCTTCTGCAGGAGATCCTCACCTGAAAAAAATGGCAGTCCGAGAACTCCCTTGTTACTACTTGGCTCATAAATTCAATGGAACCAGCTATTGGGAAACCACATCTTTTTCTTCCTACTGCGCGAGATGTGTGGGAAGCTGTTTGTGATCTTTACTCAGACCTTGAAAACCCCTCTTAAATATTCGAGTTGAAAACCTGACTTTGGCAATCCAAGCAGCATGATCGGAATGTCACCACTTATTACAACGAATTGGTGACGTTGTGGCAGGAGCTTGATCAGTGCTATGATGATGTTTGGGAGAATCCCAATGACTATGCTTGTTACAAGAAGATAGAGGAAAGTGATAGGGTCTACATGTTTATAGCCGGCCTTAATCGGAGTTTGGATGAATTCTGAGGCCGTATTCTTGGCAAGAAACTGTTGCCTTCCATTCGAGAAGTGTTTTTTGAAGTCAAACGTGAAGAAGCGAGGAGGAGAAATATGCTACATGAAACCGGCCCCAACTTGGAGACTGAAAGCCCAACCCTTTTATCCAGAGGTTTTGAACCGGAAAACAACGGGTATAAGAAACCGTGGTGCGAACATTGCAAAAAGCCATGGCATACAAAGGAGACCTGCTGGGAACTGCATGGCAAACCAGCGAACTGGAAGCCAAAATCCAAACGCGATGGTCAAGCCTTTCAAGCCACGACTGAAGAAACTCAAGAGTCTTCTACCAACTTGGAGGCAATCCCATTCACCAAGGAGCAATTAGAGCACATGTACAAAGTATTTCAATCTCTAAAATTGTCCTTAACCCCATCTTGTTCTTTGGCTCAGAAGGGTAATTCTTTAACCGCTGCTTCTTTGAGTGTCATTCCTAATTCTGTTCATTCTTGGATCATTGATTCTGGCGCAACTGACCATATGACTAGTTCTAAATTATTCTCATCCTATAGTTCTTGTGCAGGCAATAAAAAGGTCAAGATTGTAGACGGTTCATTCTCGGTCATTGCCTGGATAGGAACTGTCAAACTGACTCCTTATAACTCTTTATGATGTGCTTCATGTTTCCAATTTGTCTTGCAATCTGTTGTCCATTAGTAAAATCACTTCTGATCATTAGTGTCAAGCTAACTTCTATTCTTCTCATTGTGAGTTTCAAGAATTGACCTCCGGGAGGATGATTGGCAGTGCTAGGGAGAAAGATGGACTCTACTTTTTTGAAGATGGATTTGACTCGAGTGGACGATGTCAAAGTACTGGTTTAAATTCTGTTTTTGTTTCCAAAGATAGTGATGTTATGTTATGGCACTATAGGCTATGCCACCCTAATTTTCAGTACTTCTTTTCAAATTTATGCTGGAATAAAAATCCATCTTTTTTTTCAATGTGAAGTGTGTCAGTTTGTGAAACATCATCATACATCATTTTCACCTCAACCTTACAAACCAACCACACCATTTACTGTGATTCATAGTGATATTTGGGGCCTGAGTCGAACATCTACATTTTTTGGAAAAAAAAAGGTTTTTGACTTTTATTGATGATCACACAAGATTAAGTTCAGTTTATTTGGTGAGAGAAAAATCTGACGTGGAAACAATTTTCAAAAACTTTTACACCATGGAATAGACTCAATTTCAAAAAAACCATTCAAATTTTACAGAGTGATAATGGTCGCGAGTATTTTAAAAATGTTTTGGGTAAGTTTTTTTCTTGAAAAAGGGATTGTTCACCAAGGTTCTTGCATTGACACTCCGCAACAAAATGGTTTGGCCGAAAGAAAAAACAAACATCTTTTGGAAGTTGGTCGAGCTTTACTTTTTACCAATAAGGTACCTAAATATCTTTCGGGAGAAGCAGTCCTTACTGCTACATATCTCATAAATCTGACGCCTAATAAAGTTTTAAACTTTAAAACACCTCTTGAGGTTTTTCATAACTTTTATCCAACAAATAGGCTATCTTCCTCTTTACCCTTAAAGATAGTTGGTTGTATCGCATTTGTTCACATTCATAACCATAATCGTGGAAAACTTGAGCCCTGAGCTACAAAATGTGTGATTGTTGGTTATGCTCTTACTTGAAAGGGGTATAAATGTTTTGAATCTATTTCCAAAAAAATGTTTGTTACCATGGATGTTACCTTTTTTGAATTACACTCGTACTTCATGCCTCATCTTCAAGTGGGGAACCAAATCCAAGATTCAGCTTTCCATGATGTTTTCCAAACTGAAGAATCTAATTTTCTCCCCACCTTGACCATTCAAGTTGAAAACCCAGATTTTGTTATACCAGAAGAAAGTGGGTCGAGTGTTGTTATACCAGGAGAAAGTGAAGTAAGTGGGTCGAGTGTTTTAGACACTAAAAATGCAGGTCCTCCTACTGTGCCATCTTATGATGTTCATGATTCCACAAACAAAGGAACTACAGGGTTGAAACCATTTGACATTGTTTATTCGAGACGGAAGACACCTCAAAAGAATGGGTCCTCCAATCACTTAAAACTTGCCAAAATCCGTAAACTCTCTAGGCAATGTCCTTATTGAGTCTTTACAAAACGTTCAACCTACTTCATCTTCAAGTTCTGAGTCTCCTAGTCCAGAAACTGAGCCAAGTCCCAATTCTGAGTCGAATGATTTAAGCCTTCCCATCGCACACGAAAAAGGTGTGCAGTCATGCACCCAACATCTTTTATCCCATTATGTGTCATACAAAAAACTCTCACTTGTTTTTCATGCTGTTACCTCTCAATTGTCTTGTTTGGAGATTCTTAATAGTGTGCAGGATGCTGTAAAAGTTCCCGAGTGGAAGGAGGCTCTCTTTGAGGAGATGAAAGCTCTTGAGAAGAACATCATGTGGGAGTTAGTAGATATGTCGAGAGGAAAAACAACTATAGGGTGCAAATGGGTGTTCACTGTCAAATATAAGTCTGATGGCTCACTGGAACGGTACAAAGCACGTCTGGTTACCAAAGGATTCACTCAAACCTATGGCATTGACTATTAGGAAGCATTCGCTCTAGTTGCAAAGCTAAATACCATAAGAGTTCTCTTATCACTTGTTGCTAACTGTGATTGGCCTATACAACAGTTGGACGTTAAGAATGCATTTCTCAACGGGGACTTGGAGGAAGAAGTGTACATGGATGCACCCTCAGGATTGGTGAAAAGTTTGGAACAAAAGTGTGTAGACTGAAGAAATCTTTATATGGGTTGAAACTGTCACCGAGGGCATGGTTTGAGAAATTCACTCAGTTTGTTAAAAGTCAAGGGTGCACTCAAGGGCAAGCTGATCATACTATGTTTATCAAACATGCACGAGATGAAAAGATAACTGTGCTAATTGTGTATGTGGATGATATAATTCTCATTGGAGATGATGTATTTGAGATAAGCCGTTTGAAGACTTCTCTCTCCTAAACATTCGAGATCAAGGACTTGATTTCTGAGATACTTTCTTGGCATGGAGGTGGCGAGATCAAAGAAGGGATCGTTGTGTCCCAATGAAAATATGCTCTTGATCTCCTTAAGGAGACTGGGATGAGTGGTTGTAGGCTAGCAGACACTCCAATTCGTCCCAAGCAGAAGCTTGGAGATGACAAATAAGGTGATCCAATGAATACAGCTCGGTATCAAAAACTGGTGGAAAAAGTGATTTATTTATCCCATACTTGACCGGATATTGCTTTTGCTATGCTATGAGTTTGGTAAGTCAGTTTATGCACTCGCCTTACGAGAAACATCTTGAAGCAGTTTATCGAATTCTGCAATACTTGAAAAGCACTCTAGGCAAAGGTTTGCTCTTCCAGAAGAGCCCACAACAAAATATTGAGGCATACACTAAGGCAGATTGAGTAGGGTCGGTTGTTGATAGGAGATCCACGTCAGGTTATTGCACTTATGTCTGGGGAAATCTCGTTACATGGAGAAGGAAGAAACAAAATATAGTTGCAAGAAGCAGCGCGGAGGTAGGATACAAGGCAATGGCTAACGGAGTTTGTGAGATGCTGTGGGTGAAAAGAATTCTCGAAGAGCTGAAGATGCCAATAAACATGCCAATGAAGCTGTATTGTGACAACAAAGCCGCCATCAGCATTGACAGAATCCAGTGCAACATGATCGCACAAAGCATGTGGAGATTGACAGATACTTCAATAAAAGAGAAGATTGATTGTTGAGCTATTTGCATGGATTTTGTCCCTGCTATGCAACAAATAGTTGATATTCTCCCTAAAGGACTGTTTAGGCCTAATTTTGAACTTCTTGTAAGCAAGTTGAGCATGATTGATATCTATGCACCAACTTGAGGGGGGTGTCGGATTTGTATGAGTTAATTAGGCTATTCTAGGATATTTTATTTTTGCAAATAAATCAGAAATAAATGTAGTTTCCATTCCTAGTTTATAGCAGAGGATTTGCTGATTGTGTGATTGTGTGTTGAGTTGTGATTGCTGATTTTGTGGGCATTCCTCTGCTATTTATTCTTGTACTCGTTTTTTGTAATTCAAGGAGAAATAGTACCCTTTTTTCTTCCCTAAACCTATAAGTTTAGTTTAGTTTTCATGATGCCTTAATTCCTGATCATGGTATTGTATTTGTTTTCTTGTTTAAAGATTCGTTTCTCTGATTCTTATTTCTTTCCATTTCCTATTTTTTTCTTTATTTATTATTTATTATTTTTTTTTGGGGTTCTGTTTGCAGGCCGTTGCGGCAGGTTTCGCATGTGATCAGAGACAATATCGCGTGATTTTTGTAACTCATTCGGCACATGAGGTTTGAATTCAAGTGGACTCTAAGTTCTTAACTTCCCTTTGGTAGATGATTTGGGAATAATGGTGATTGATCTGCTATTTATTAAATGCGACTATAAGGAAATATATAATATTGTTGGCCTAATTCTTATGCTATCAGCTTAATCTTTTAGGAGAATTGGTTAATTAAGAGTAACAAAAGGAGAAAGCAGAAGTGTTGAGAAAAAGAAAAGGCATACTAAAGTCATTTATGTTTGTGTGCTGAAAAGATAACGTGACAACATGAACTCATAAACCAGAATGCGGTGTCATTTCCAACATAAATTGTGTTTGTGAAATCAGTCATTGCCATGCCCCACAGCACCTGAAGAGAATCCTTTATCGATCCTTTTGTTTTACCAAATAAACACCTCAATAACTGGTGCATCCAAACCTGCTACAGGATTTGATAGGTACGTGTAATGAAGTCTAAAGTTATGCTAGGCAACTTATTTTCTAATCTAATTGATAAACCCCCTATTCATTTCACCTACGCTAGAAAGGCGAACGAGAGTAAGTAGAGGCTGAGTGGCTGTTTTAGTTGTGGCTGTGAGAGAAGGTTTTAGTGGTTGCTGTGAGAGAAGGTTTTAGTTAGGTCTAGGTGATTCTCAATTTGATTAATAACAGATTGGTGGTTAGTATATAGTTTCAGTTATAGTTTGTTTGGGGAGTGTCGATTGTTTTGGAATTTGTAATTGGCAATCAATATTGGGAGAGGGGGTGTTCTCTAATTCTTCAATTTCCACTTTCAATAAAGATTAATTTTTCTTGATCAGTTTCTTGTGTGAGATTGGGTATTTATCACTAATTTTGTAGATGGTCCTTATATTCTATACGGTAGGTATTTTTTCACTTCTGCAAGAACTCAAAACAATACTCAACTGCAATCACCGTGTCCACGTCCAATTGCCGGACTAATGTGAATTCTCTCTACGCAGTTCCTATCCAACAGCGTGATAGTTCTAGGTTGCTGAGTTTGCACAGCTTGGTGGGAAAAAAAAAAGAAATATAAGAGAGAAAAAACGGCTCCTGACTTGAAAGATTTATTTATTTATTTATTATTTTTATTATTTTAACTTCTGAATAACTATCTTTTAGAATAGAAGTTTTGTTTTCTTAGTTCCTTCCTACTTTCCCAAAGAACCTTTAAATTTTATACTTTCAGAAGGATCTTAGAGTCTTTGCTTTTTGACTTTTTTTTTTTGGCAACAATATGAGTTATTCTTCTGGTTTTTCTGACGTGTTTTCCATTATGCAGTATGTAAGTTCTAACTTGGCTGAAAAGAATGTTGCTTTTGTGCCGGTTTCTTCACCACCTATTCTTTCTGCTCATCAATGTCAAAATACCACAGGTTTCACCTGCTTTGTTCCTTTTGATCTCTTGTTGTTAAATCCTTTCTAGCTTTAGCTATTGCAATGGAAAAGCAAGAATACCATAGAGCAATATCTTAACAGGGTATCTTTGTCTTGTCAGGTTCTGCAGAGTTGTCATTTTCATTACAGAAAAAGATGCTTATTCGAGATCATAGACAAGAATGCTATTCTATTCTTGAAAAGATATTTGGACGAGGCCCGTGCTTGGATGATGATTTTATTGTGATAAATTTTTTCGCATTGGTACTTAGCCAAACATAACCAGCTTTTGAATATATTGGTTGCATTTTTTTTTCTTGTACGAAATGGAAATCTTATTAAAAATAAAAATGAAAATTCTTTAGTGGCGAAGGAGGAAAAGGTATTCTTCTAGGCCTCCGCTAGGAATGCTAACAACCCAAAAACAGAATTAAAATGATTTTACAATGTCCTCCAATTGCTGAAGATCATAGAAAACATTATCATATTTGTTCTCCAATTTCTTAATTTTCCAATTTCTTAATATCATAAAATAGGAAATAGCTTTCAGATATCTATGCTAGGCTTTTCCTATTTTGTTGTTTCTGTTTAGAGAGAACAAGAAGCATTTGTTACTGCTGTGTATGATGAAATGGAAGGATAATATCCTTGGATGCTTGTCTTGAGTGAATATAAAGAAGACATCTCTCTTTTTTTTTTTGTTAAAGAGTGTACATAACTTCTCACAATGTGCACTTGAATAGGAAACCCCTCAAGGTTTTACTAGTAAAATTTTCTTTCTTATCTTGGAGTTCTTAAAAGTCTTAATTTATCTTGGGTTTTGCAACTTTGAAAAAAAAATCTTTTTATTTATATTCTTTTTATTGAAGTTATTAATAATGGGTAATAGGTGCTAAAGACATAATATGTACGAACAAAAGGAAGTTTAATTTAGTTATCAATAAAAGAAAGTTTCTTGTATATTAAAAAAATTAGAGTACCGACAGCTATTGAAATCTAAAGAGGGCAGATATTGAGAATTCTTCATAATTTTACAACACACTTTATCAATAATGTACAAAAATTTATAATATGAACCTTAAAAGTGTTCCTTGTTGGTCTAGGAAGGCTGGAGTCTTGCGGAACTGTTTAGAGTTCGTTGCATAGTCGCTGCGCCGTATGTTGTTCCATACAGGTAAAAACGTCCACTTTTTTTTTTTTCTTTTTATTTTCATATTTGATAGTTGAACTCTCAATATAATTTGAAGACTTCTTCTAACTGGCTAATCTTTTTCTTTTTACATTGTTCATTGGTTTGGATCCCCCTTTTCCGAAGTTAATATCTTTTTTCACACATGTTCTATCTAGAGTGCTAAAAAATGGATCCACCCCACCCCTCTTTCCCCTGCGTTTTATATATGTGTGCATCCTCTTAGATATGCCACTGAAAATACTCTTTATATGAAACGAATTTTCTGTGTTCTTTAATATTTAAATCCCAGGTCAATCTTTTGGCATAGGCTAACCATGCACTACATTTGATGTTTAGATAGAATGCAAGTTTTATTGATCCCAAAATTTATTTCGATATTTTTTTCAAAAATTTTTAAAATGTAAGAATGATATCAATTCCTTCCAAAGATTCATTACATCTTCATAAGTTTTTATTATATCTTCATGGGTTCCAATCCAACATTTTCCTTGATGTGTTTCAACATAAAATGTGTTACGTTAATTAGGAGAAATCTTTTTTGGAACTGCAAGGTCCAATACCTAGACCTAGTTACCTGCTTATGTAGTTAGTTTTCCTTTGAAATACTGTACAGTGCACCATCATCGTTCGAGCGGCAGTTCAAAAAAGAACACCCGCTTCTGTATAAGTATCTACAGGAAGCTCCTATGTTCAAGGTAGCTCAGGGTTCAGCAAACATATTCTTTGAATGGTTTACTGCTTGTGTGATGCGCGCCTTAACTAATTGATCAAACTCAAAGCAACACTCACAAGAGAGTTGACCTTCTTTTTTCTTTGTTTTTTTTTTTTTGTTTTTGGCATACAGGTTTGTTGGAAAGACGTGATTCATTGGCTCTGGCCCCTTTTCACTGAATATTGGGAATCTTGGAGATATGATCTGAATTTGAGTTCTTGTCCCTTTACAGTAAATTTCTCTTGCCACAAGCTGTTTTATGCATTTAACATATTGTGATATTTCGAGAAACTTCAATTACATTCAATATTTTTTTAAATCTATTTTTCTAAAAGGTTTCGTACTTTTGTAGTGAAATTTTTAGTGTGCACAAGAAAAAATGGTTGGTTTTGCTGTCTTCATACTGACTAAGTTCTTTGTCAAATTTAGGATCCTGTAACTGATCTACCAGAATGGCATAATAGGCCTTCATCTCCCTTACTACTGTAAGTCTCTGGGTCTTAGTTCTATGTTCAAAGAATGAAAATAGAGAAAAATTGGAGGAAAAAGCTATATTATGGGAGTTACTGCGCTTTTACCAAGGTGTTAAAAAATCCTAATCATATGTTGCACTTTTTACATTAGTCAATTCTGTCAAGTCTATTACTCATATGTTTGATGATTCTATTACTGTACGGTGCCCAATAACATTGGAAATTATTGTGGGACTTCAAGTTGGCTAGTATATTGAACCTCAAGCTCATGAGGGAAACAAATGAAAATATGTAAATCACTGGATAATACTACTAAAATTTGAGAGCATGCTTTCTTGAAAACAGGGTTATTGTTTAGTTTGAGTTGATAAATTTATAGTGATGTTAATTATATCTCTTTTTAAAATACTTGCACTTTTAATATTTGCTTTCGAATATTGGGCTAATAGCTCTGTTAGTCCCTGAACTTTTGAACATTGTGACATTTTGGTCCCTAAACTTTTAATTTAGGCATATCTAGACCCTTCATTTTATGATAGTTTTGATCCTGATAGTAAATTGACGAATGATTGCTGAAATTTAACAAAGATAAATATGTGTCCATCACGTGATAATCTAAAATTTTACGGAAAGAGTTACGTTATATGCAAAATTTTCTCTTTGTTACTACTAAAACCTATTAAAAACTATAATACTTTGCACATACTGTAACTACTTATGTAAAAATTTCTAATATTTTGCGATAACGATGTGATTATCCGGGCTAAATTTCAGAAATCGCTCACCAATTTTATTGTCAAGGACCAAAATTGTTGAAAAACGAAAGTTTAGGGACTAAATGTGTCCATATTGAAAGTTCTGGGACAAATATATTGCTACGCTCAAAGTTAGGGACTAATAGAGCTATTAACCCTTGAATATTTGTATGTTTAACAGGTATGGATTTAGCAAAGAAGTTGTTGAATGCCCCGGTATGCTTACTACTTTCCACATTATTGAAGATTCAGTCTTTTTCTTCCCTGCTCTTTAATTTTCTCTCATAATAATTATAGATTGTGGTAATAGTATTTATTTGTTAAACATTTTTGCCTTGTTCATTTCACAACTTAAGTCGCGACTCAAGTTTTATTGCTACAGTGTTTTCTCTCACAAAAATTCAAATTCAACTTTTTTGCTACAGTGTTTCCTCTCATACACAACACAAGTTCATAACTTGAGGTGTGAAACAAACATACCCTTTATATGTTTGAGATATATGGATTTAATAAAGAAGTTCTTGAATGCCCTGGTATACTTATTTATTTCAACATTATTGAAGATTCCATCCTTTTGTTTTCCTTCTTCTACCTTATTAATGTTCTACGCGTGCGCTCGTGTGTGTGAGGTACAAGGAATGCTTTTTTATTATATAATACCAAGACAATACACAAGCACATGACTTCACGCGTGGCTTTGCCTGCATGCAGAAATACACCCTCAGGCCTAAGGTCCACACAAAAACAAGGAACTAAGAAGATTACAATATAGGGCATATTTTATAAATTCCCCCGGAACTTTGTCATTTGTGTCACCATGCTCCTTGAACTTTGTCATTTGTGTCATCATGCTCCTTGAACTTTGAAATGTACAAGTTATGCCCCCCAAACTATAACATGTCTCCAACTTTCTCCCTTCCGTCTGATTCCGTTAAGTTTTTGAACATAAATGCTTATAAGTTCCTCCTAAACTTTGTCACTTATGTCAGCATGTCCTTTGAACTTTAAAATGTATATGTTGTGCCCTCTAAATTATGATATGTCTCCAACTTTTCCCCTCCATCTTGATTCTTTCAATTTTTTGAACGAAATGTTGATACGGCCAATAAATTGTTGATTAGGTATGACATTTGGGGTTTATTGAATGCTTTTCCCTTCAAAAACATTAGTTAAGCATCAATTTACAAAAAAATTAGTTGGTCAGAGGCAATAAAGAAGGAAAAAAATGAGGAGCAAATCTGTACAAGGTAATGAGTATGTTATTTATTTATTTTTCCTTCTCCGTTGGAATGGATTTATCAAATTCATAGGTTTCTTAATGTAGAGGATAGATTCTTTCTTGAATTTTGCATTGTGTTTGTTTTGTTGTTGTTGTTGCTTTTTTTTTTTTTTTTATGTTGAAGATTCTTTCTTTTTAGGTTTGTTAAGTTAATGGGTTCTTTAAGATTTGTATTGAATTCTCTCAACAAAAAAAAAAAAAAAGACAATGAGCGACTGTATTTAGATTTAAAAATGTTATATATATACACATACACATATATAAAGCATAAACATGTTTTAATATTGAGCACTTTTATCTAAGTCAAATATTATTAAGTTAAGCAAACAAAAAAAAAAAAAAAAAAAAAAAAAAAAAAAAAAAAAAAAAACCTAACAGAACCCATTACGTTGTATAGATTTACTCTCATTTTTTTTTCCCTGCTTAATTGCCTCTAACCAACTAATGGTTTGAGAACTGGTGCCTAACTATTCTTATTGGAGGGGAAAGGCATTCAATAAACCCCAAATGTCATATCTAAGGAGAAGTGGAAAACGTAGAATCAAGCCTTTCCCATTTTTTTATCGAAGATCTAGAAGACCAAAGAAAAGCAAAGAAGATCCCATTGGCGATATGGCTGATAGAGAACCAGATTTCTTATCAGGAGGTCATGTGGAATCTTAAGGTGATTGCGATTGAAAGAAGAGGTGACATGTGATTCAATGGGAAGTTTGCATAGTTTGGGAAACCCGTTACTAAAGGGACTCTCTTCCATAAAGATGGCAACGAGCGTTGCTGGATGCCCGAGAAGCCTTCGTGGGACCGGAAGAAGTGAGACTTCTTACTGCAATGAAAAGTCTAGAGGAGACAGCCAGCGGAAGCCATGCAGGTAATAATTCTCTTGGATTTTATGAGGAGCAAGCTCTAAGTCAAAACGCCTTAAACCCATGTCCTTTAGCATCAGTGGCACCATTTGAATTGGAGGACAATATGGAGGGTTGTCTGGATGGCGAGTCGATGGTGGGATGTACTCTAGAAGCTGGCGGGTACGGTGGGAGATCTAGGCCGGGAAGTGCTGACAACAAGCAGTTAGCAGGGTGAATTAGTGCGGTACAGTGACAATTGGTGGAAAAAAAGTGGAGTGGAGTAAAGTTAGGGCAGTGTTTCAAAACGTGCAACTCCAACTGTCAGTTTCGAAGAAGGGAGCTAAGGAAAATGTTGAAGGCTGTTCAAAGTACGCTAGAAGAAGGGGCCAAGGGAGGGAGTTGAAGAATTTAGAGTTTAACGTTCATTATCGAGAGAGCGTTAACGGGGTAGCAAAAGGTTATCAATGAAGCTAATGTCTTGGAATATTAGAGGAGGAACCTCTCCTTCAAAAAGAAGGGAGTTTGGGAGGTTGTGTATAGGGAAACTCCAGATATATTGATTCTCCAAGAAGTTAAACGGAGAGAGGTCAACAGAAGCTTTTTGGGGAGCATTTGGCAATCTAGATTTAAAGAGTGGGTGTTATTGCCGGCGGGGGCAGTAGGTCGTTTGGGGGGAATTTTGGTAGTTTGGGACGTCAGAAGAATGAAGGTAGTAGAAAGTTTTTTGGTAGTTTTCGGTCACTATAAAGGTTGAGGAGAAAGGTGATTTTTAGTGGCTCACAAGGGTGTGCGGCCCTAATCATTACAATAAACGAGGGTTGTTTTGGGATGAGTTAGCAGGGTTATGGAGCTTATGCAGGCAAAGATGGTGCTTGGGGGTTGACTTTGGCCTTGTTCTCATAACTCAAGTTCTATTGCTACTGAATTTTCTCCTACAAAAATTTAAATTCAATTTTTTACTACATTGTTTTTCTATCGCATACACAACTCAAGTTCTTAACTTGAGTTGTGAAACAAACATACCCTTTAATGTTACTTGATTTTTGCCGGAGAAAAGTGGTAGTAATAATCTCACTAGGAGTATGACACTTTTTTGATAATCTTATTAGAGATTTGAGATTGACTGACCTGCCTCTCCATAATGTGAATTCACCCTGTCTAATTATGGAGATTCTCCCTCTGCTGTAGACTGGACTGTTTTTTACTCTCTGAAGGTTGGTTGGAAGTTTTTCCATTTGGGCGTCAAGAGGCAACAGTTCGAGCAGTTTGAGAACATTGCCCTATTTTATTTCACACAAAACCTCCTAAATAGGGGCCCCCTCCGTTTAGATTGATAATATTTGGCTTGAGAACAAAGAAATAATCAAACATGAATGGCTGGTGGGAAGAAGAAGACGTCAAAGGGTGGGATGGATATAGAGTAATGGGAAAGTTGAAGCTTTTAAAAGAAAGGTGAAAAGATGGAGTGGAGTTAGCAGAGGCTAATCAAGTGGAGAAGAGGAAAATACTAAAGAGGATTGAGGAGATTGATCAAAAGGAAGGAAGCTCCGAATGGTCTTTGTTTTTTGCAGAGGAGAGGATGGAGTTAAAACAGAGATTTTGTTATTTTAATTGGGGAGGATAGGGCCTTGAGGTTGAAATGTAAATCTGCATGGGCTAGAGAGGGAGACACGTATACTAAACTTTTCCATCAGTTATTGAGTGCGAGGAGAACGAGGAATGCAATTTCAAAATTGGAAACTGATGACGGGGTTCTTTTTGAAGAGGAGGAAATTACGAAGAAGATTATTGAATTTTATGAGAAACTATATGAGATCGGGCAGAGACTTTAGTGGAGTTGAAGGTTTAGAGTGGAATCCGATTTCTAATTTCGCTGCCAAGTCTTTGGAGAAACCCTTCGAAGAGGAAGAAATTAAGCGAGTAGTTTTCAGCTGTGATGGTAACAAGGCTCCTGGTCCGGATGGGTTCACACCTTCCTTTTTTCAAGTGTGTTGGCACTTTGTGTAAAGTGATGTTTTGAAAGTTTTGGAAGATTTTTGGAGATGGGATTATTAATAAGATCACCAGTGAAACATACATATGTTTAATACCCAAAAAGTAATTCTTGCAGGACCAAAGATTTTAAACCCATTAGTTTGGTCTCGAGCCTATACAATTCTCGTAGGTATAGGCGAATAGGCTCAAGGATGTCCTGTAAGAGACAATTTCAGAAGTTCAGGGGGCATTTGTGGCAGGGAGGCAGATTTTAGATCTTCTTTTGGTGGCTAACAAGGTGGTGGAGGACTAAAGGTCCTCGAGACGAGAGGATGTGGTGATAAAAATTGACTTTGAAAAAGCCTATGATCATGTTGAATGGAAGTATCTACATTTTGTAATGGAGAAAAAAGGTTTTGGAGGAAGGTGAAGAAGGTAGATAATGGGCTGTCTTGGTTCAGTAACTTATTTAGTGATGATTAATGTCAGGCCGAGGGGCAAATTTTCATCTTAAAGAGAGTTGCGGCGGGAGATCCATTGTCCCCATATCTGTTTACTCTTGCGGTTGATGGTTTAAGTAGGTTAGTTGACAGGGTTTTTGAAGTTTCTCTTTTTAACCCGCTTATAGTGGGGAGATCCAACGTCAAAATCAGCCAGCTACAATTTGCTGATGGCACCTTATTCTTTAGTTCACTGGAGGAGGAAAGCTTGTCAACTTTAGCGGGTATTTTGGAGATCTTTTGTTTAATACCAGGCATGAAAATAAATTTGGATAAAAGCATCATTCTGGGTATAAATTTGGAGGAAAACAAGTTGTCTAGACTGGCAAGTGTTGTTGTGTACATTTGATTTGTGGCCAGTCAAATATTTGGGGTTACCTTTAGGTGGAAACCCCTTGCAAACGGCTTTTTGGGATCCAGTGGTTTCTGGAGTGGTGAAGAGATTGGATGGGTGGAAGAAAGCATTCTTATCAAAAAGTGGTAGACAAACACTCATTCAGTCTGTTCTTGCTTCTCTGCCTATTTATTTCTTTCCGGTGTTCATAATTCCTATTCTTGTGGCAGGGGTGATTGAGAAGCTAATGAGAGACTTCATTTGGGAGTGTTTCTCTGAGGATAAGTCGACTCATTTGGTGGCTTGTGAGCCAGGTTTGTAGACCAAAGGAACTGGGGGGTTTGGGCATTGGCAACATTAGGAAGAGAATTGAAGCTCTATTAACAAAATGGCTTTGGAGATTTCTGCTGGAAACAGATGCTCTATGGCATAGAATCATTGTCGGGAAAAATGGATTGGCTCAAAACAAATGGGACTCAGGGGTTCAGTCGAGAGTAACTTTCCGATGCCCTTGGAAATCAGTCCAGACGGTGGCTGATAGTTTTTTCCAGAGGATTAAATGGAAGATTGGCTCGGGAGAAATCATCAGGTTCTGAGAGGATTCTTGTTGTGAAGGAAGTCCTTTTTGCCTAAGATTTCCCGCTTTATAGAATACTTCATGATCAACCAATTACTAGGTTTGCTTTGGCACCGAGTCTCGGGATAGAAGCGTTGGTTTGTGGGATTTTAGATTCACAAGAAACTTATCAGATAGGGAGTTTAGGGAGGTTTCGGAGCTAATTTCTATTGTGTAGAAGGTTAGGCTTCATGGTGTAATCCAAGATAGAAGAGATTGGGTGCCTGATCATAGTGGTTTTTCCTCAGTCAAATCACTATTCTCCTCGTTGATAGTTGATTCTTCATCTCCGCAGTTTGTCTTTTTTGAAAATATTTGGAAAACTCGTGCCCCCACTAAGGTTCAAGTTTTTTGCTGGCTTCTTGCTCCCAATAAACTGGATACTCATGACTCAATGCAGCGTTGAAGCCCTTTCCTTTCAATGTCCCCAGGCTGGTGTTATTTATGCAGGAATGATGGGGAGACAGCTGATCACCTTTTCCTTCATTGCTTCTATTCCCGTATGATATGGTCCTATCTGCTTAAGGAGTTTGGTTTTTCTTGGGTCACGCCTTGAAGTTGTGCTGAGATGCTAGTTTTCTCTCCTCCTTCTAGCTTTAGAGAAAGGGCATTGGTTTTATGGATGGTTGCTCTTAAGCTATTTTGTGGGGTATATGGTTGGAAAGGAATAATAAAATTTTTGAGGATCAAAGGGAGGATGAGTCTGTTCTTTGGGATTAAATTAGGTACTGGGTGTCGATGTGGGTTTATAGGGATTAAGAATTTGGAAAGCCTATAGTTTCAGAATTTGTTAGGAGCTGGGCCCCTTTTTAAAGCCATGTCCTAGTTGTTTAGTTTGGTCTGATTGATTTTGTTTTGTTTATCTTGTATTTTTAGAATGGATTTGTGGAGGATAACTCTTCCTCTTCCTCTTCGTCTGTTCTTCCCTTTTTCTCCATTTATAAAGGTTTCATTTCTTTTCCCAAAAAAAAAAATCTAATTAGCAATTTAATGGCCATATCAACACTTCCGTTTAAAAAATTGGCAGCAGCAAGATAGAGGGGAAAAAGTTGGAGACTTATCATAATTTAGGGGCACAACAAGTACATTTTAAAGTTCATGGGCATGTTGACACAAGTGACAAAGTTTTGAGCGAAACTTATTAGCATTTCCGTTAAAAAAGTTAACGGAATCAGATAGAGGGAGAAAGTTGGAGACATATCATAGTTCAGGGGGCACAACATGTACATTTTAAAGTTCAAGGACAAGTGACAAAGTTCAGGGGGAATTTATAAAATTTGTCCTTCAATATTATAGAAGTGTTGTTTATCAAAAGTAATCTCGTGCCATTTATACATATCACACATGCTTAGATGTGGTTTTGGTTTACTGTGCCTTGACTTCCTCAAAGTTGTTTAATACTCAAAATTATTGCAGCCTTACAAAAGAAATTTCAAACTCATTAGACAAGATATTATTTTAGCTAACAGATGTATCTTTTAATTTCATTGATTTTGCTCAGTTGGGATGATATTTTGGCTTGAGAGGATTGATTCTGGTTGAGTGTGTTTGTATAGACTGTAGTTATTTGTTTTTGTTTTTGCTTTTTATTCTAGTGGATTCCTCATCCATCGTCCTTGTAAACTCTATTTGTTTTAATAAAGTTTTGTGTATTTTATAATAATAATAATAAAAAAAGCCTTGTATAAAACAATAATAACCAGCAGCGAAAGGGATTGGAATGGTTTCTTCTTGCTATCTAGGAGGTTACTGAAAACAACAGTAACTATAATACCTCTATTCGCGTCCTGTGAAGGTCCTTTTAGTGTACTTATGAACGATAGCACATATTGTTCAGTGTTTAATCGCTGAACAACATATGATTTTTAGTGAAAGTGCCTCTGTTCCTAATCAAAATAAGTAATAAAATGTGGCTCATCACTCTCTTCGCACCAGATTTTCTTGCCTTTCTCTAACAAAATGTACCTGTTTTGTCAAGTTGTACATCTATAATATCCTTCATCTGATTTCTAAGCATATGAGCAGATTATTGGCCACCGACAGCTCGCGTTTGTGGCTTTTGGTTTCTCCCACTGGAATGGCAGTTTTCATGTCAGAAGTGCAGTGAAATCTCAGCACTTGTTTCTGCAGGGCATTTAGACAAGGAAGATGAACTATGCTCTGCTCATGTTCATTTACAATCTTTTTTGAAGACTCGTGTGTCAGAGCCACTTGTGTTTATTGGGCTGAGTTCTGTTGGTAGGCAAGTTCCTCAAAACCATTCTTGTTAACTTCTTTATTTATTTATTTATTTATTTATTACTGAATATTGATTTAGAAGAATGTTGGGTTAGAATCAGTAATTTCACCAAATCATTGGTCATTCAAACAGGCCTTCCCTTTTCTTTCCCCTGAAGTTTTTACAGTCCATTTTCTTAGTGGACTATTACAATATTTGACGTCTCCTATATTTTTAGTACTATATGGCTGTTGTCTATGGTCATCGTCTTTCTTGTCTTGAACTGAGTATTGTTTTGTATTTACAGCATGGGATTTTTGAAAGACCCTCTGGCATTTCTACACGTCCTTAGGACTGTTCTAGAGATCACAAGTTACAGAATTATCCTTTTCACAGCTGGATACGAACCTTTTGGCGCAGCAATCCAAGCAATAGCTGCTGAAACAGCTTTACACATGGACAATATGCAATTAAGTGAAGATTGCCTCCCTCTCTTCAATGGCCGACTCTTTTGCTTTTCAGGGTGAGAATCTTTTATTCAGCTTGACGCAGCGGATGCTTTTTCATGAAGAAAGTCAAATATTTAGCATTTCACTTTAGTTTTTAGAAGATTTTGAAATCAGTACATCGTGCAAACATATTGAGGATGTCTCTAGGACATTTTGAATGAAATGCCAACAAAAAATTCTTTTTTCAAATTAGTTTCATCAAAGTGTGCTGTAAACGCATAAAGCAAGCTGATTAGTTTTGAAGATTTTTTTTTTCTCATTAAATTTTTAATATCATATTTTCTGTAGTCACCAAAAGGGTTTGTTTTACCTCTTTCGCTTTTAGTTTCTGTATATGCATATTTATGTGTTTATATGTTTTACATATATACTTATTAGCTTCTCGTTCTCATTCTCTCTACGCGTCCTTGTAAATTTTACTGAACAAAAACAACTGAAAATGTTCCCCACACACTCGTATATTTATTTATCGCTTTCACATGGTATACTTGGTGTTATAAATCCTTATTTCTGTTTATCAGACTGTTCTTGTGTACCATATTGTACACCTAGTTTACAGTGGTCCTGTTCTTTTTTGTGGCATTAAATCAACTTTTACTTGTAAAAAGAAATGGCACTATTCATTGTTTCCATTCACTATATTTAGACACCAGTACTCTTGGTGTTGCATTTGGAGAACCTTCTAAATTAGCTCAATGTGCTACTTATGAGTATAAATGAAGTGTGTCTTGGTGGGACCTTTAAAAAAGAATATTGTTTAGTAATCGCCGGTCAGCCATATGGCAGTGAATTCGTTCCCTGGCCTTGTACACACCGCCCGTCACACTATGGGAGCTGGCCATGCCTGAAGTCGTTATCCTATGTAGTGCAACTCTTTAGTATGTACATGTTTGAATATATGACACTCAGAACGTAAGAGTTTGGTTCTCGTGTGTAGTTGAATTTACACATTGGAATTCACACTACATTGCTTAGTCGTTCTTTTTTCTTCAAACTTGGGCTCTTTGTGATTTCGGAAGATTTCTGGATCTCAAAATAAATAAATGTTCTGAACGTTGAACCAACTACATTAATAACCTTCACGACTTTTCACAACACAAGCAAGCATATTGAGGTTGAAGATTGCCTTATATTGTCCGTGTGAAATTGCTTTGTTTACTGCTTTTTACCCAGGATTTTTTTTTTTTTTTTTTTTTTATATAGTAAACACCATCTAATTTGGAATGGTTTCTAGATCATTAAGTTCATTGTAGTAGGTCCATACCTCATTTCCTATTCTGCAACTAACGTCTTTTGTCATCTGCAACTTAGTACCATAGCATATGACTGGCTCTTTCCTAGATGTGCGGTTGCAATTCATCACGGGGGCAGGTTAGAGCTTCTTACTGGTTTTTTAAGAATGAGGAACTTGGATGAGCACTAATACGTGTTTTCATGCGTGGAACATTGAAAATAGCGGAAGTACTGCTGCCGCACTTCAGGCTGGAATTCCGCAGGTGGGTTGTGTTGCTATCCATCTCTTTTCATCTTTAATCTATTTTTTCATCTGCTTCAGTAAACTATTGCTCTCTCTCTCTCTCTCTCTCTCTCTCTCTCTCTTAATGACAATGTTGAATGGCAGGTACTTTGTCCATTCATGCATGACCAGTTTTACTGGGCCGAGAGAATGCATTGGCTTGGAGTTGCACCAGAACCATTGAGAAGGGACGGCTTGTTTCCCGAAATTAAGGATGAGAAGAGCATCCGAGCAGCTGCAAATGTGCTGTCGAGGGCAATAAATGATGCGTTATCTCCTGCAGTCAAAGCACGAGCAGCAGAAATTTCTGAAAAACTTTCTACCGAGGTGATTTCTCTTTCTGAAATATATGCTGCATTTGTTGGTGGCATTCAAGAGCCGCAGATTTGGTTGACAGTCAAAATCGAATTCATTGCAGGTTTTAGACAGCCATGATTTACTATCTGCATTAGACGTTAACGTTTCATCAAACAGTTTCAGAAAATTTATGAATAAAGTTGAGCACTATACTGTTGGCAGTTGGAAGGCTAAATACTTGAATGTTGTCTGGCTTATTGTGTTACTAGGGGAAAATTCTGGTTAATCTTGTGAAAATGATGGAAACGATATAGAAGTTGTTTGGTTTTTAATGCTCTAAAATTATATGTCGTAGCTTATAGGTCAATAACGTTTCGAAATTTTTTAACCTTACATCTTATGAAATTTACACTTGTAATTTTCAGGATGGAGTCTTGGAGGCAGTCAAGTGCATAAAGAAAGAGCTAGGCTGTTCGAACTCAGAGACTCCAGCAAGTTGATTTTTTTTTTTTTTTTTTTTTTTTTTTTTTTTTTTTTTTTTTTATTTTTTATGTCCAACTCCTAAAAATTCTTGAAGAAATTTTCACTCAATCAAGTTGATTTATTAAAACTTCTAAAGAGAATTTGAAAGAAAAAAAACTAAGGCCCCGTTCACTTCACGGATTCGAGTTTTCAATTCGAACTGAGATGTGACATTTTCTGAGAGTTTTTTAGTGTAGCAAAAAAAAGTTAGATGTGACATTTTCTGAGAGTTTTTTACTATAGAAACTTAAAACTGAAAACTCGAATCGGTGAAATGAACGAGGCCTAAGAGGCTAATGATGAACAAGGAGGACAAAGCATGTCTTGGTTAGCCCTTTTGACACTTCTTCTCCATAAATTTTTTAGATTTTAGCAACTGACCTTCTAAACTTTTAATTCAGGTAATTTTTCCCTCCAACTTGCTAAATTGTTGTAGTATGGTCTACTTAAACAATAATGTTCTGATTTTTACTCAGATTTAAGCGATTGAGAGTCCAAGAATTGAGACATTTGTATTACAAGTTGAATTTGGATGTTAGAATTTTTGGTTGAATGTCTTTTCATGACGAATTTCACACAATCTTATCTAAATGTAGTAAATTGTAATAGATTTATAAGTTCATGAGGTAAATTGTCAAAATTTTAAAAGTTTAGATTCATAAGTTGCCAAAAAAATCCTACAAATTTAGGATTTAAATGTGCAAAATACCCGTCCTTACCCTAGTCGAGCCTTGGTTTGTAGAATGTTTAAGCCCACGTGCTACAAGTACAATCAACCTCAGATGAAGGACACATTTGGGGTTGCTGCAGCTTCCCTTAGAATCACTAACGATGCGTTTATTTAGTGTATTCGTATCATAATTTAAATTGTAATTTATAATTCGTTATAATATTTTTTTTAAAAATATATATAAATTGAGAATAATTTTAAATTTATGGTCCAAACCTCTATTAATTACACAATTTTTTTTATCTGAAAAGAGTGTTTGGTAAGATTGTTTGACAATTTGGTCCATAGAGCATCAGAAGTTAAAAGTAGGCTATGGCATCTTTCCATTTCCACTTGCAAACCAATCCGTCAAAAAAGCCGGTCAGGTGAATGGTTATTTACCAAAGTCACTATACAACTTTAGAAGAATACCAAGTTTGCCCTTTTCTTCTTTTGTCTTTTCCTACCTTAAAATGGATCCAAATCTCACATTTTATTAAATGGAATCTCTGAGCTTCTCATTTTTTTGGTTGTTCTAGTTTTAGACAAACATGTTAAGTTTTCCACTTGTATATATTACACGGGTACAGTTCTTGTAGAGGACCGTACTCTTATGTAACAGGTAAAAATAGGAAATAAAAGTGTAACAATAGCTTTGTAATGTTACATTTAATACTTCTACACACTATTTGGAAGTATGGTTCTCCCAGAAGATTATTGTAGACAAAATTTATATGTTTTGTGGGTGCGTGTGCTCATGCACCATCGCCTATGTGTAAATTTGGTGCTTTTCATGTTGACATCTATATTCAAACACCACTAATTAGATATATACTAAAATCTTTTGCATTAAGAGCACGTTTAACAAATTGTAAATGAGCGTAATGGGAAAGGTAATGGGATCGGAAAGAAAGGTAAAATAATAAGATTAAGAGTCATTAATTTCTTTTTTAAGTGTTTATTTGACTATTATATAGTATAAACAGAAACAACCCAATTTCATTTCTTATGTTTACTAAAGTTAAAAATAGTAATGTTATGAATATAATTACTAAAATGTCTTTTTACACAATTAAATAGTCATTGACTATATAATAATTCATTAAAAATAGATAAATAAATTTAGCATCAATTCTCATTGACAAGGAATCAATATATATATATATATATATATATATCAAACCATTTCTTATATAAATTAAACCATTTGTTATAATTAGCAACTTCTTTCTTATATAATTCCCAAAAAAAAAAACTTTTTTTATATATAATAATTGTATACAGTAATTAATTTTTTTAACTAAATATAAATAAGAGTTCCCTTTTTAATTATTCAAAAACATGGTCTTTCTATTTTGTCCTCGTGTGCTTCCTTTTTCTTTTTATATCACTTAAAATTTTTAAAATATTAATTTGGTGAATAAGACTCAATAAAGTTGTCCTAAATTATTTTATCTTTTTTTTTCTTTATTTCATTAGGATTTTTTTTTTATTTCTTTTCTGAAATTGGTTTATTTTTTAAAATCCTCTCTTCACATATCAACTATTCAAAATTTTGGTCCATCTATTTTGTCTTCTTGTATTTTTTGTCTTCTTCTTTTTCTTCACTTTCATATATATCAAACCATTTGATATACTTAGAAACTTCATTTTTATATAACTCCCAAAAAAAACTTCTTTTTTTTATATATATAGTAATAGTATACAGTAATTAATTTCTTTTAACTATATATATAAATAACAATCCCCTTTTTTTACTATTCAAAAACATAGTCTTTCTATTTTGTCCTCATGTACTTCCTTTTTTTATTTTTTTTATATCACTTAAAATTTTAAAAATATTAATTTAGTGAATAAGACTCAATAAGGTTATCATAAATTGTTTTATCATTTTTTTCTTCTTTCTTTCATCAGGATTTTTTTTGTTTTATTTCTTTTATGAAATTGGTTTCTCTTGTAAAATCCTCTCTTCACATATCAATCTAATTAATATAGAATATTTATTTTAAATCTTTTATGCATAAAATTATCACGCCATATGATAAAATAAATTACAGTTTAAATATTAATTCATTATTTTCTCTATTTAAAATATATATAAGTGTATTCAATAGAATTGTAAATTAAATTTTAATAAAAGTGTATATTATTAAAAGTTCACATTTAATGGTATCAGGTTTATGTAATAATTTTTCTCATTTTCCATATGTTTTCTATTAAAACCGCTATATTAATTAATCTTAAGCAATTTTATTTTAATATTTAAAATAATTAATTATTCTAGAAATTTAAAGACATTGACCTTATTCTAGAAGGTTTGTTTCCGGAACTAAAATCTTATGTGCCATTGATAATATAGATACGTTGTTGTACTTCGGGAATTAAATTGACAGGAAGATACGTTGTTGGGTTATTTTTAATCCTTTTTTTTTTATTTTCCTGTTTGCATAACATTTGTTCTAAGAAAGTGAAAGTACAAGAAAAAGAAACAAGAAGAAAATAAAACTTACGCGAAGATGTTGCTTCATTCTTGGATTTTATTTATGCTTCTGGAAATGTTCTTTAAGGGATATTGTAGTATTTAGCAACATTTGTAGGTCATATAATTTAATTTAAAAATAACCTTTTTTAAATATAATATAATAATATTCGAAGTTAATCACTGCACAAGATTTTGGCGGAGTTCTTATTTGTGTTTTTCTTCTTTTTTTTTTCTTTTTTTTTTTTTTTTTGAAAACGAGTATTTATGTGTTTTGATTAAGTAATTAATTTAAAACACATTGTGGAAAAGAAATATAATCCATAAAGCTAATATAAACAAACTACTCAGATGTATAACTTCTATACTCATTAAGTGTATCGCGTAAGCATGATAATGTGACATACCTAGTTTATTGAATAATTTCTCTATATTTGATACTGAATTTCGCAAGAAACATAGCATATATATATATATACACACACTATATTTGGCAAAAAAAAAAAAAAAACTTTTATTAGAGAATAGTGAGAAAATGGTATTCTGATCCAACTAAAAAATTATGGCATTAACATAGAACTTTGACATTACATTGGAGACATTCTTAGCTTATTAATAGTTGATTTTATGAAAGGCTCTAAGTTGTGATGCCTGAGAAAGTAAAGCTAACATAGGTCATTCACATACAAATATTGATATTGATATTCAAATTACACTAATTGGATATGCAAATGAAACCTTTTGAGTTGAGAGTTTTGACTTGACCATAAACTGAATTTCAAAAAATATATTATAAACTACAATTATAATATTTTGATTCTTAATTCTTTACAATTATCTAATTTAAGTAAACGTGGAGAATTGCTAATTTTACATGCGTGTTGCCTAATCTCCAGAATTCCTGGCCGACTAGGAGGACCAAACCAGGAATTAATGCGCAAAAGTAGTTTACAACTTGGTCGTGGTGGGTTGTTGGAAGTTTATATGCGCCCAAGAAGACCAAAGACTTTCCAAGGAATGAGTTGAATTAGGTAATAAAGCAATGAGAATTTCATAGTGGGAGGGTGCACGGTTTCCTGTTATGATTTAGTTTTTATCATGGAGGACACATTTCAAAAAGACGTAAAAAGAAAACTACAAAAGAGAAAGAGGAAAACAAAAAGATGGTTGAAATTATCTAATATATAAGTTTGTCCATAATAGCACGCGTATTTACATTGTGTTTGATGGTGTTCATCAGAAACAAAGTAGATAAGCTGAAATTGAAGTTATAGAGAGGATTGCTTTCTCTTTATTACTTCATTGGTTAGATAGAGATAATAATTATTCAACTCAACAAGATAGTCATTATTTACCGGTTTTCCATTTCCTGCTTATATTTTCAAGGGGAAAAAAATGCAAAATTGAGAGATACATGGAAGTTACTAAGTCGTTCACCGTTGTCATCTAACAATACATAAAAGAATCAAAGCTCTTTTCCGACAGCCTCTCCAATTAGTTTCTTTTTTATTTTTTATCTTTATTTTTTGTGATTTTTTTTACATTTTAATTTTTTGTGTTTTTTTTTTTAAATATGATCCTCACTCTACTTTTATAAGAGTAATTTTTTCACATGTTTTCTAATTTTATTTTTAGTTCGTTGAAATAATTTTTTTAAAATGTGTCTCTACTTAATCTTTTTCGTCAATTGTTATCTTTACACATATTTCTTTTATAATAAATTCAAAATTCCTTAAATAGTTTTATATTAAATTTCTCATTATTCGGTAAACAATAAACTATCCATAAGTCTCTAACACAATAATATGTGCGAAGCACGTTACAAAACTAGTTATATAAAAAAAATGCAATATCTTGTGTTTTCAAAAGGCTGAGATTGTCTATATATATTTATAAAATTACAATTAAATCCACCTTTGTTCTGCAATATCTTTTTTTTTTTTTTTAAAAAGTTGTTTATTCTGCATATTTTTTTAATCTGATGCGATTTTAACTTATTTAAACAATCAAAAACTGACATTACCTATAGGAGTGACCTCTCAAAGAAACTCCCTTATTTTTTTTGCTCACATGAACACAGCTGGTTGTAGTAAGTTTTCTGTACGTATGGTTATGATATGTAAATTTGTTAAGAATACTAACTAATAAAGAACATGACTTCTGGAAATAGGGGAATATATCACGCTATAACAAGGATTAAGTGTTTTGTTTAAAAATGATTTTGGATTAATTTTTGTTTACTTTCTAGTTAAATCATATAAAATAACAGTTAATATAGATTGAGAAGAGTAACCTTGATATTTTAAAGATTTGATTGTTTGAGGGGGCATTTTGAGCCTAGTTGTTTATAAACACAGAAGAGGGTGTCTTGGCATTTGAAAACATAAAAGGACAACAATGATATTCAGAAAAAATATATTTAGGTATTTTAAGTATTTTTCTTATTTAAAATGTCTATAAAAATCATAGGATAAATTACACTTTTTCCTTTAAACGATTGATTTTGTAACAAAATATCTCTAAAATTTTAAAAATAATAAATTTTTTTTCTGAATAATTAGCCGTTAGCACGCATCATTCTTTTCCGTTCATCAGTAAAATTTTAAACGTTAAGTGTCACATTAATAGTACGTGACTCTCATTTCAAGAGTAAATAAGTAATTTACCGTTATTTACATATCTGTTCAAAGTACGAATCTCTGTAAAATGTTTGCCTTCTGCTGAAAACGGATCACCAACATCATTCGATGCCGCTGTTGAAGCTGCAACTCTTTGTGCAGAAGTTAATTAGAGGAGCTCGAGGTTCAGAAAAAGCATCTCCATTTGCTTCAGAGTTCCTCTCTGCTTCAACAACAGCGTCCACTGTGGCTCTTCTTCCCACTGAAGAAGAGCCACTAAATCAAACAGAAAAAGTTTTAAATTATATGCATATGGATGTAGAAATCACATACAGAGGTGTCAGAAGACATTAATAAAATAAGTTCTCATTGATTTTATTGATTCGAATTTAAAGTTTAAATTTTATTACAGTAAAAAATTCTTAAAAATAATCACATTTAATTTTTTTATTACAGTAAAAAATTATTACATAAAATCACATTTTAATTCAAATTAAAAACTTAAATTAACAAACTAAACAGTCTAAATGTGCAAACATATACCACAGAGAAAGTGTGATATAACAATCACATACAGCTGGAAAAAGTACATACTTGAATTCCCGCTACGAACAACAAACTGAAAGACTGGAAGCAAATAGACCCGAACAGTGCTGCCATCTCGAACCTATTCAACAATACCTTGCAAAGAACTTCCTTTTGGGCTGTTCAGTTCGCTAATTCGAGTTTTTAATTTGAATTGAGATGTGATGTTGTGTGAGAATTTTTTACTGTAGCAAAAAAGTTAGATGTGATTATTTTTAAGAGCTTTTTACTGTAGCAAAACTCGAATTCTAAACTCGAATCAACGAAAAGAACGAGACTTAAATCGGTGAAATGAATAAGACTTTAAGAGTCTGTTTGGTACCTAGATTCGTTCTCTGATTTGAATCATGATTCATAATTCACTACAGTATTTTTTCTCATAAAAAATATACATAAATTAAAAATAATTTTAATCACATAATTTAAATTTATGAACCAAACGTCACCTGAATATTTCTCCTATTGTAATTGTAAAATTATAAAAATGGTCAACTTTGTACGATACATTTTAGCCACAAATTAGACACAAGTGGCAAAAAGCCTGTATGGTATTTAATTCCTCATAGATCTGAATTCTGACACCGTATTTGGGATTTGATGACCGCAAGATGACCCGCTAGAAGGTTTTGAAACTCGAGAGTCGAAACTGAGTTCTGACCCGTCTGAAAGCAGTTAAGGCCGATCAAGTGCTGGCGGGCCATAAGACGACTTTTTACTCGACTGGTGGGCCCTACAGGCTCTGTACAAATGGAAGTAATCCGCCATTATTTAAAGGGGCTCACTTCCTCAGCTAATTAAACTGATATCATCCACATCTCGTAGTAGTGTCATCGTTTGTGCATTGTTTTCTCTTTGTTTTGTTTAGCTCCTTTGAAAGCACACAAGAAAAATGGGCCAGGGAAGAGTCAGTGCAATGGTCGCGGCGGCTTTGCTGTTGTTGTTGGTGCTTAGCCAAACTGAGTTGGCTCGTGCGGCAACCTACACGGTCGGCGGCGCCGGCGGCTGGACCTTTAACGTTGCCGGTTGGCCTAAAGGAAAGCGCTTCCGTGCTGGTGACACACTTGGTAAGTATATATTTTTTTGCTCGTGTTTAAATAAAATTTTTTAAGGGTTATCTTTGAAGCCTCTTTTAAGGGGTTAATAAAAAGAAAATATTACGGATGTTAAGCACCACTATTAATTGAAGGAGCTCATTTTGCGATACTCACATTTTAGTAGTCACTACTCTCTTGTTTTTTTCTTTTAAAAAAAAAAAAAAAAAAAAAAAAAAACTAGTTTGGATTAACACTAGCACTACTCTATTATTATTTTTTCTTTTATTTAAAAAAAAGAAAAAAAAAACTAGTTTGGATGAAATTGTCGGTCCAATATTCTTTCAAGTTAGGGGAATCCATGAGGATCTCTCTCTCTGTTTTATTTTTCCGCTGAAAACACAACGGTTATATCAAGATTTTAGGATCAAAAGGCTCCAAAATTATGGATTAACACTAGCACTACTCTATTATTATTTTTTCTTTTATTTAAAAAAAAGAAAAAAAAAACTAGTTTGGATGAAATTGTCGGTCCAATATTCTTTCAAGTTAGGGGAATCCATGAGGATCTCTCTCTCTGTTTTATTTTTCCGCTGAAAACACAACGGTTATATCAAGATTTTAGGATCAAAAGGCTCCAAAATTAACAGCGGAATTTGGTGTTTAACGTTCTAGCTGCGAGCACTATATTTTTTTGTTAAAATTAATTTTTATTAAATATGCCTCCTGAACTGAACTTTGCATTCTAATTTTATATATAGTTTAAATTTTGAAAAACTATTCATTTTACTCACTAAACTATATAATATCCTTCAAAACACCCCTTGAAGTCATGTAATTTTAAAAATACTCACTAAACTATTTTTTTTCTTATGGAATAAACTTTTTTTTTGGTCAACTTATCTCAAATTTAATCATTAGTTTTTGGATAATATTTTTATAAAGTTATAAATAGTGTCACGTGATCATTTCGAGTAATTCACGTATAATAAAATAAATGAACCATTTTTAAAATTTAGAAAGCGTAACCGACATATAGTTTACGGGTATTCATGAAATTAATCCTTCTTTTCAACATGCTTTTGTGCAAAGGATTGTACGTTTTTAATTTGTTTTAATACCCAACTATGGAGGCTCATGAACTTTTCGTGCAGTGTTCAACTACGGCCGAGGTGCTCACAATGTGGTGGCTGTTAACAAGGCCGGTTACCAGACGTGCAGGACAGTACCAAAGGGAGCCAAAGTCTATACAAGTGGAAAGGACCAGATCAAGCTAGTGAAGGGCCAGAACTTTTTCATATGCAATTTTCCCGGGCACTGCGAATCTGGAATGAAAATTGCCGTAACTGCAGCCTAATTAAAGGGGAAACTATGTATTTATTAGACGTGATTGTCACTCTATAGTAGAGCATTATCATGTATTAAAAAACCATGTTTTGAAGTGTTGTTTGGAATGGAATAAAATAGTTTCTTTATGTCATATAATATACTTTATATTTGTATCACATAATAACACTTTGAGTAAATTGAAAAAAAAAAAAAAAAAAAAAAAAAAAAAAGACAAGAGTTTGGTGTTTGTGACCTTTTTACTTCTCATCATGGGTTTTCATGGCGCGAATTATTACTTTGTTATTCATCATGCGTGCATGTGCAGATCAGGTGATTGTTAACCTATTAACAAAAGTAAGAGGATTAAAAAAAAAAAGAAAAAGCAAAGGACATAAAAATCTTCACAATTTTCTTTTCCTACTCTTTAGGTTTAGATCAAATGATGCCATTCTAATCAAAGTTATATCCCCTCTAGTAATGATGTCAGATCAGTAATTAATTATAATCCTTTATATACAGGCTACAAGCTTCAATAAGTTGATTCTAAATGTTATTTCTTCTTTCTTAATCGAACTTGATTAGTAAGAGTAATTATTAAATAAACAATTAACCAGGTTAAGGTATGCAAAGCAAGCAACCAATCAAAACAGGAAACCAAAAATTGCAGATAAAAACTGTGGAGAGAAAGTAACCGAGCCAAGCTTATAGTGTTCCCCATTTGTCTTAAAAATATAAATCTTCGTAACGAAAGAGTCTTTATTTTGTTGATACTTCATTTGTCTTAAAAGTAGACTTCTAAGTAAATAAAGAGTCTTTATTTTGTTGATACTGTAAACGGATCATCGTACTAAGGAATTCTTTAATGAACAGGTCATATAAACAAAACTTTTGCTAATTTTACACTAACTTTTGCTAACTTTTAATAGACAACAGGGAGAGATGGTTTCTGAGAGGAGATGTGTCTCAACAGAGGAGTGTGGGTTCTTTATTTTATAGGGTTTCGATGGGACAATGGCCCCATCACTTTTCGATATAGGACAAGAAACTCTCAACTTCTTTGAAGTTTTTCCTTTAGTTTTATCCAGTTTTATAGGAACATTTTAAGAGTTAATTTCTTATTCACTATTTTACTATTTTGAACATATGAATATATTATTTTGGTCTCTTCGTGATGGAAAATACAAATCTAAATTGAGCCATCACTAATACAAAGTAAGTCCCGCTTAAAATTGAGCCTCAAAATGATACCTCAAAAAAAGATTTCCAAACTATTTTTCTAACAATAAGTAAATATATAATAGATTGAGTTAAGTCTATAAAATGTCTGTAAAAGTTTTAATGATGAATATGAGAGGTTTCCTAAAAAATATATATATAAGAAATAAATTCCTTCCAGAAATAAAAGAAAAGTTATATATATATATATATATATATAAACAGAGTGTATACATATCCTCTTTTCTACACTGTTTTCTTCGAACACTTTTTTAAAAAAATATTTACATGAAATTTAAGGTCCGATTAGTGCGCTGATTCGAGTTGAAATGTAATTTTATGTGAGAGCTTTTTACTGCAATAAAAAAAATTAGATGTGACTGTTTCTGAGAGTTTTTTACTGTAATAAAACTTGAATTCTAAATTCAAATCGGTGAAATAAATAAAGTCTTAACGTGGCACGTATTTTGTTTTGAATAGGACGTGGCCCATATCAGTTTTTAGTAGTTAATTTTTTTCTTTTTTTTCTTATATCCTAATTTTTTAGTGGCTTTTTAATGAATATATTTTATTGTTTTTAAAGAGAGAGAGAGAGAGAGAGAGAGAGTGAGTGTGTGAAGAAAAGAAAGGAAAGAAGAAGGAATGAATTAAAAAAAAAGGGAAATTAATAACTAGCTAGAAAAGTTACTAAGTACATTTATTCGCAATTCAATATTCGATGACACACTGCAGTATATATTCGTTGGTGTACAAATTCGGTGGCTTTGGCCAGTCAAAATAAGCTAAACTGTAGAAGTTATTAGTTTCTAGTTAATTATAAAAAGGCGAATTTGAACATTGTAGGTTAAAATCAATCTTAAAGTATAGAACGTTTTTTTAAAGAAAAAATATCATTTTAATATTATTAAAAACACATCATTTCAGCGAGATATTTTTCTATAATAGAGAATATTAAAATGATTTTATCAAAAAAAATTTGATAACGCTACTTAATAATTGACACTATTTTAGAACCAAGTAGTTCTCGATTGATTAATAAGTAAATAGATAATAAATTGAGTTAAGTCTATAAAATGTATGTAAAATTTTCACAAGTAATAATGAATATGAGAGGTTTCCTAAAAAATTAAAAAATTAAGAAATAAATTCCTTCCAAAAATAAAAGAAAAATTATATATAAAAAAACAAAAATACAGACATAACCTCTTTTCTTCAAAAATCATTTGTTTTTCTTTTTTTTTTTTTTACACTTCAATGAAAATTTTAATGTGGCTCATATTTTGTTTTAAATAGAACGTGGCTGTATCAGTTTTTAGTAGTTAATTTTTTTTTTTTTTTTTTTTTTAATGAAGTTACAGAACGGTAGTTATAAATATGGATAAAATTTCTTCTTAAAAACACAAAACAAACAAACAAAAACAAAGGAATGAATGAAAGGAAGGAAAGAAGAGGAAATCTCTCTATGCTTAAAAGAGGCAATGCTTGACACTTAACAGAGTTAATACTCTTTTCGATGAGAAATACTAAATACAGAGTCTTTTACAGATATTAGTTTAATTTTTTAACACGTATCATCTCTATTTCTTCAAACAAACTAACTTAATTACAATTCACTCTCTTTATACTTATTTATAAGTATGTCATTTTTACTTTTTGGCTCCCAAATATAACGACTTCAACATTTAAATATAGCGATTTTACTACTGGTTGTTGTAATGCGTTAATTACGAAGCCTCTACACTACTGGTTGTTGTAATGCGTTAATTACGAATCTCATATTGCTTTAAAGGTTACATGCTACCCATTACTATAAAATAGTCTCTTTTTTAATAAGTTTTTTTTTTTTTTTTTTAATAAGAGAAAAGAAAAGAAACCCAAAAATATAATCATTTACACATTGTAATAGAAGGAAAAAAAAAAAACAAGGGACACCTTTGCAGAGATAAGGTTGCATATTCCTTAATTATTAAAAAAAAAAAAAAAAAAAAAAAACGTTGCATATTCATTTTCCTTTGTTTTGAGTCTTTTGACAGAGCCTTGCATAATTTATCAAAGAACAAGGGATGGAAATCTTAAAACTGTGAATCATGAAAAACTTCAATATAGTTGAATTGCAAAATAGTATAATCTAAATAAAAACAACACTCCGTCAAATCAAGTCTTCTTATGGTCATGAAACTTGCAAAATAACTATTCTAAAAACTTAATGACAAAAACAGGTTTTCTTTCTTCCAATCTTCCGAGGACATATCCTTCTCTTCAACTTATATATCTTAATATTTGAAGGACCAACTTGAGATGTAATGTTCTTGAATAAAGTCATATTTTACCTCAAAAGCAAAAAAAAAAGAAAAAAAAAAGAAGAAAATGTTCTTGAATAAAGTCACATTTTACCTCAAAAAAAAAAAAAAAAAAGAAGATACCGATTATACATTACAAAGTAATTATGAATACAAGTTAGATAATTTTTTACCTGAGAATATATAAGTTATAAGAAGATAAGTTAGGAACGACGCATAACATGTATAGATTAGAAAAAAGAAAAGAAAAACGGAAAAAACAATCAAAGGCTTCAAAACGGGAAAAAAAAAAAAAAAAAACCATAAACAACAAAAAATTTTAAAAAAAGTTGGAGCAAATTATACACATTGAGAGTGAAGCATAAAATATATACACATTAAGAAAAACGAAAGAAAAACCAAAAGAACAATTGACGGCTTCAAAACGAAAAAAAAAAAAAAGAACAGAAAAGAAAAAACCATAAATAACAAAGAATTTTTAAAAAAAATCTGGAGTAAATTTTATACATTAGGACTAAAACATATCAACGGCTTCAAAGGAAAAAAAAATAAAAAATAAACGAAAAAAACTATCAACAATAAAAATGAAAACAAAGCTGGAGTAAAATATATGTACTTTAGAGTTGTTTTCGTCTTCTTTTTAAGTGAATTGCACACCAATATTCCATTGAAAAAAGATCTCCCCCTATTACGCAAGCCTCTCTCACATTTTTATTTTTTCTTCTTCGGGATTGTATAAACTGGTTGATTTGGGAGCCAAAAAGAGAGGAATTGGACTCTTGTAATTAAGTGTAAAGAAAGTGACTTATTATTAAGTTAGTTTGTTTAAGAAAATAGAGATGACATGTATCGAAAGATTAAACTAATCTGTAAAAGAGTCTGTATTTAATATTCCTCTAAAAGTTATCTTTACACTATTTTTTTATACTAAACTGTGTTCGTTTAATTTACAATTATACATATTATTTTTGTTACTAAGTGTATAAATTTAAAAGCTGAGTATTATTTTAATGATTTTTTTAAGAAAACTTATTTTTAAAATAAATACAAAAACTTTTAAATAATTGTATAAATAATATTCTCATTATCAAATAAAAAATTAAATTTTTTAGATGGTATAAATTTAAATGCGAGTATTGTTTTAACGATTTTTTTAAGAAAACTTATTAATAAATAAATACAAAAACTTTTAAATAATTATACAAATAAATTTTTTATTATCAAATAAAAAATTAAATTTTTTAAATGTCTTTCACACGACAATACGTGAGAACATTCGTACAACTGGTTAATTAAAAAGCAGGAAATTAATATATAAAAAATTAGTAACTAGCTAGAAAAGTACTACGTACATTTATTCGCAATTCAACATTCTATAACCCTCTAAAAACTTGGTGGCTTTGGCCAGTCAAAAAATATATAATCTTGTTTGGTGTCCGTGTAGCCATAAACACCATCTTGACGAACAACCCATGAGCAATGGCGACACCTGGGAAAATCCCTCTTGGCTTCATATATCTTAAACCCGCCTTGCGCATCTCGCCAAGAGAAACTGCAGAGCAAGAAAGACGTCATGAAGAAATTTGGCCGGAATGACCACTGAAATGTGCCATTAGTTGGTAAAACATGGATTCCTAAATCATCGTCCTTAGACGCGCAATGACTCGTCACGTTTTGATGATCCGGTAAGCTATTAGCAATGGAGACCGTCGTCGTTGGATTCCGAAACCAGCCGTTCTCATGATATTCCTCAGTTTTCGCATCTTGGCTTGTTCTAGCGCCATGTAGGGAAGAAGCAAACAAGAAGGCAAAAAACCAAGTTTTTGCTCTGAATTTAGACATCTTTGTTTGTTTTTTGATCACAATATATGCAAAAATGTCTATATTTGTAGAACAATTAGAGTGGGAAACAAAGAGGAATAAATGGTGACAGAAATGTGATGGAAATATTCTCCTATAAATGACCACGTAAATGCCGAATTGGAGAAGTTCTTTAAATTAGTTAGTAAGGGAAAATGGGCAATCAATGACGTTATATATGTATATATGTAATGGAACGTTATATAAGTCAATATATATGACACGTTACTAGGTATTTTACCATTTAAGTTCTAAATAAATCTGCGAATTAAATAAGGAATCAAAACAGTAAGAGTTAAATTTATGAGTAGTCCCTGAATTTTTTTTTCTATTTACAATTAATCTTTATAGTCAATTTATTTTATTAATAGTCACTGAATTCAAAAAGAGTTTCATAAATAGTCCATCTGTTAAATCTTAGAAATATTTAATTTTGTCTCATAAGAAACTCTTAAACTATTTTTTCTCTTTAAAAATAGTCTTTATGTTAAAAGTTGTACTAAATTTAATCTCTAAACTTAAAAAAATACCAAAACTAGTTCATTTTTTAAATAATAAGATAAAAAAACATTAAATACAAGAAGTTATAAGAAATTTAGTTTCTAAAATTTAAAAAAAAAAACCAAAATTAGTTTTTTTCTACACATATTTGTATTTTTTATCTAGTTATTTACATGTGTAATTTTGATATTTTTTGAGTGATTATATTTACCCTACCATATTAATAGATGTTCTCATTTAATTATTATCTGATAATATAACTTTAAAGATGAATATTTTCATAAATATCTTTGTATTATATCCATTTTAACCTTTTTATCTCTCAATCTCTCACTTTAATTTTTCTTATTTTTTTGTTAAAGAAAATTTACATAAAAAATACAATTACAAACTAATTTAATTCAAAACAAAGCAAAAAGATGAACCTAAACACATACAAAAGTCAACTAAGAAGACAAAATCCATATATATCTTAACCATTCATTATAATCTTTCACACCAAATTAAGAGGAAAAGGTTTCTTAAAAAAAAAAAGTAAAAGCAATTAACTGCAAACGACAATTCACAATATAACAAAGTGCATTACACGATTATTTCATAACATTGTTTTATCTACTATAACAAAAAAAGTTTTAAAAAAATATTTTATTGTTTATATTGGGTCATTTAGAAATTCAATGCGGTGAATAGAATCACTATGCGTTAGTTTAGAGACTAAGTTTGGTACAACTTTCATATTTAATGTTTTTTTTACATCTATTTATTTAAAAATGAAATAATTTTGACATATATATTTTTTTTAAGTTTAGGGATTAAATTTAGTAGAAAGAAAATAGTTTAGAGATTTTTATGAGGTAAAATTAATGGTTTTTATCTAAAATTTAGCAGATGGATAATATATGAGAAACTTTTTGAGTTCAAATATTATTCACGGGATAAATTGACTATAAAGACTAATTATAAAAAAGAGAAAAATATAAGAAATATTCATTAATTATAAAAAGAGAAAAAAAATTCAAGAAGTATTCATGAATTTAACTGTAAAATATGGCGAACTAGGAAAGTACTGCTAGGCTTTAATTACATTGAAAAAAGAAAAAAGAAAAAGAAGAAAAGAAGAAAAGAAGAAGAAAGAAAGTACCGCACGGAATATAAGGAAGCACATGCCATTTACCAAAACTTGAGCAAGATTTACCAAATTTCTTCTCCATGAAAAAATGGCAATTACGTATTAAAACCAAAAAAAAAAATGGAGTATCTACAAATTTACCCTCGATGAAAAAATGTAATTACATTTTAAACCAAAGGATACTAAATCAGTAAGAAGGCTTTTTTTCAGTTATAAGAAAAAGACTTTCTTTTTTCTTTTCTATTACATTATATTTTTAAAGATTAACTTATTTCCTTTTGGATCTAGATTTTCTATTCAATTTTTAATGTCTTAATTGGTGTCTAACTAATTAATGACAGCACATCATCCCATAATAAGTAAAAAAAAAAATTTTAAATAAATTCAAACTTTTAACACGACGTGACATGATATGATAGGTTAGACATCAATTAAGACACTAATTTAGACAAGAGATCCTTGTCCTTACCTTTTATCCCTTTTGCACCTCTTAAATATAGACTAACAAATCTCTATACATATAAAATATACGAATTTATGAAGTAAACCAATGTCTTCAAGTATGAACTACAAATTCAACGTTTCTTATTCCCATGATTCAACCTGTTGAGGTAATAATCTATTAGTGGCTGGTTTGTTTATTGGCTAGTATTTCCACGGTTTATATGTTTCTCTACGAAAATATGATATTTGATTTGATATCATAACTAAGATTTTTTTTTTTTTTCAAATAGACATAATTATGAAGTGTTTTTAACAAGAAATTATAAATTGAAAAAAAAAAATTTGAATCCGGTAGCATATCATCTTTTGGGCAACAATCGCCATTGACATCATATATAACCTTTATGCATACATATTTTCCATTTAAGTTGATAAAAATATAACCATTTTTTTATGCATACATATTTTCCATTTAAGTTGATAAAAATATAACCATATTTTTATGCATACATATTTTCCATTTAGGGAAGTCTCTAAGCCAAGGGAACTTAAACAAGATTATAGCCTAAAGGACGAATGGAGGAGGAGCAAACATTTTCCTGAAACTGTAAAATGTCATGGCCAAAACCGCAATGGAGCTTGTGATAAGGGATATGAGTGATTTTGGAGAACGCAAATTAAGAGTGGAACTTGTTTTGGATTTCAAATTTTCTAATAGTTTGTATGTGTTATTTCGGGTGAAGCAATTCCCAACAGATAGGAAACAATCACACACAGGATTCCAGAGTTAAGAAGGAATTTTAATTTAAAATTTATTTTTTAAAAAATCTAAAATGTCACATCAGCTGGTCAATAACAGGTTACTCATCCAAAGTCACATTTAATGAGATTTTCAAATTCAATGCTCATTAATTATCACAATTTTTTTTTTTGTCAACTGTCTAATTTATTACAACTGTTAGAGCAATATTTTACGGTTAAAACAATAATAACCACCAATGGATAAATAATGAAATAACCTACATATATATAGAGGAATTTTCAATAGTTATATATGTATACTTTATTAGCCTCAAGAGAGAGAAGGTGATAAAACAACGATAAATTGTCTAAGGATAGTTCAATTCACACACCCCACTTTACTTTCCACACCGCATTTTTAAATATAATTTCTTATTAGAAAAGACTCTCATGTAAAATGACAAAATATGACGATTATAATAAACTTAATTAGATTATTAAATTTTAGTATAAAAATAATGATACTTTTTTTTCTTTCACACACCCCACATGTCATATTCTCGAATTACAAACAATTGTTATTTTGAAATTTATGATTGAACTTTAATTTTTACCATTCAATAGCTATTCTAAAAAATTACATAAAGATATGCAAAATTTTCTTTGCAATTTATTCTATAGTGATTGTTCTTTTTGCCTTTTTCATTTTTTATTTTTCTAATAATTTCATTTTTGAAAGGGCAAATTATTTTAATTTATTTTCTTTTTCATTTTTTATAAAGTAGAATTGATTTTTTTTCTATTTTGTTCTTTTTAATGCTTATTATGCTCGTTTATTTATTTTTCGTTCTTTTTTCATTTTGTATTTTTAATCATACCTCAATAATATACTAATTTTGTTGCCGTATGTTTTACTTGTTTTTTATTTCTTAAATTATATTGCTTTCTATTTTATATTTTTAAGTGTGTTTTCTAAAAAAATATTTTAATAAATTTTCTTCCTTAAAAAAGGGTGCCATGCCTAAATGTTCAACTAAAAAAAATAGACAAATATAGAAATGATAATATTAAAATAAAAAATTAAAATAAGACAATCAACGTGAAAAGAAAAATCAAATAATGAAGGATTAATAATCCTACGAAAATAGTTTGGGGTGATTTTAGAATAATAGGGGTGTGTAAGAAGTAAATTTAACCATTTTAAAATTATGTGAGGTGTGTGTTTAGAAGATAGTGTGGAGAGTAAAAAGGGTGTGGGCTAATATTTTATAATGGCGAAAAAATCAGTTAGTTTGTATTATTCGATCGGTTTCCCTCAAACCCTAATCCCTTTTCTCTCTTGCTTTCTCTAATCTTGACGCTGATATCGTCCATCACACCAAAATCTTCCACTGCAATTGCAACGTCGACGTCATTCATTGCACCAAGCTCTTCCATTTTCAAGCCATAAACTTCCAATCGGCACGCACCAAGTTCAATGACGGTTTGTATATTTGGTGATAACCCTACTTTCTGAGCTGTAATTAAATTTGCTTTTCTTAACTTAATTAATTCCCTAGTTACTAATATTTAAGTGAATTTTTTGTTTAGGAAAAAAAAAAAAAGAAAACTTATCATATACTAACACTTAACTTGAAAATTCTAAAGACATGAAATTAGAAATAAATGTTTTTTTTTTTTTTTAGTGCAGAATAACATTTTTAATAAACTTAAAAAACTCTGCGGAATTTGAGCTTCAGTCAATCTATTATATAAAAATTTAGTAGTAGAATTCTTATCTAAGCTACCTACAACATGACCAAACATGGTGAGCTAACGTTAGAGAAGTACAAACTTTATTCTCACAATGCATATTCAATAATTATGCACGACATATTATGAATTTACTTTTTATGTTTATTATCTTTAAGGCCTTGTGTTTGTATCGGATATGCGCGACCAGTGGGGAGTCAAGTCGTTCATATTATTCTTATTACCCATGTGAAGTTTGGTACTACACGGATTAATTGCATTTAATTAGCCTCATGTTTACTTAGATGAACATGCATTTACGATGATATTCAAATAGCAAGAATTGCATTTCATAAAACAGAGGCATTAAAAGCATGTTAATAGTCGAATCACGCTGCACAACAATCATATATAGGAAAGCTGAGTGGTATTGCAT